AAAATTCGCAACGCTATTTTTAAAGCAAACACCCGATTCCTAGGTTTGCATAAAAACAATCGCGAATCGTGTTTCTAAGCAACACTAATATATCAACGCGATAAGTATTTGTTCGCAACTCTACGAGCAAACGCGAACATTGTATATTATTCGCAACTCTAACTTTAATCAGGGGCTATTGGTACATGTGCATGCACATGTACTGGCCACAAAATAAACTAACTACTACTAGTACTACAATTGGGGTAGAATTTGGGCATTGAAAATATCGCAACGCTAAATAAAAAATCGCACGATTGATCAAGATCGCAACGCTAATTTATAACATGAAAATTACAAACGCGGTTGATGTCCATTATATGTATATATGAAAGAGTAAAAAAGCAACGCGAATCGTGATTGTTCGCAACACTACCCTGAAAAGCAAACGCGAAAAATAGTATTTCGCAACTCTACGAGCAATCGCGTTTATCAATAATTCGCAACGCTATTTTTAAGCAAACATTCAGTACCTAATTTTCAGTACCTAGTTTGCAAAAAAACAATCGCGTATCGTGTCAAGGCGCAACACTACCCTGAAAAGGAAACGCGAAAAATAAGAGTTCGCAACTCTAAAAGCAAACGCGATTATTGCATATTCGCAACTCTATGTACATCATAACCGCGAGTTATGGGGAGAGATGGCTGGCATGTATGGTGCGATCATGTACCATCAGGTACATGCATACGCGAGCCAGCCAGAAAAATAAACTAACTACAACTACGGACGAGTTAAGTGATAAAGTAGTAACAGGAATGACTTTCCATTCTCATCCGAGGATGAAAATGAAAAGCCATTTGTTGTAGCCCGCTCTTGAGACAGTTTGTCAGGGCCTCTTCGGCTCATATAGAGCCTTTTCTTTCTTCGGCGGTCCTGCCGATGCCTGAAACTTACTTAAAACAAGGCTCGAGATTTTGTGCAATACGTAGTCTTCCAACAATATACGAATTGTTGCAAGAGCGTACGTGGTGAATCTCGAGGGGAACGAACGTTTCGAAAGGGACCTGATCACGACCGCGAGCGCGAGAGAGCGACTTTAAGAGTCGCGCGATTCGAGGAGTCGAAAATAAAGCCGAAACAAACAGCACAAGTGCACCGTTTGAATCAGCTAAATTTCTACTCTCGAAATCGTAACTACAGGAACAGAACTGCCACGCGAAAACGCGCCTACCCGAATTACTAATGTGGACAGTCCTGCCCTGACCCTACCTACTTAGATTAAGCGCACACACACCAGAGAAAAAGTTACCTACCTACCTAACCCTATATTTAAAAAATTGCAAAACTCATTCAAACAAACAAACACTCCACGGTTCTCACGCATAATATTCGGGCGCGACCTAAACTAGAGAGGACTCCCCGGGGTTCCTCCGACACCCGAATATTGCAAACATTCACACTCTAATTGTGGACTTACTGGTTTCTGAGACTGACAAAGGCTAGTGATCTTTGCGTTCTTATATTATATAGATAAACGTTTGTATAGAACGTTTCAATATATGGAATATAGTATTTAATAAAATCTATTGTATGTATGTATCATTCAAGATTGAAAAATATTAAGATTCAAATCCATTAAGATCAACGGTATTCAAATAAATGATAAATTGAAATCTGATATTATTATTGATAGAAATCTAATGTTATAAAATTCTGTATGTAAATTGCGATCATAAAACATCTGAAACGACGCACTTCCACAACCTAACCACACACACACACACACATGTGGACAGTACGTCGCGCACGATTCACTAGCCAATGTCAGTCGTCGATATGTCGTTGAATTGTTATAAATAAATTCATCGTGCCCCGTTGCCTTCGCTCGTGCAAATAGCACCTGGGCATGTGCATGAACTTAGGCAACGAACACGGAAAAATTACTCTGAAAATCCTGACTAGAAAAACTGGTTAATAGCTAAACGGTATTTCGTATCTAATTTTTAGTTCAAATGACTCGACTTGTTATATGTAATATATCAATAATAAAATATGTTAATATTGAAAAATACTACTATTCAATGAAACTATTATAATTGAAATTGAATTATTTAAAATGAAAGACTCTACTTGAGATTTCATGATAAAAGAATTTACTTTAAAAATTGAAATGAATTCATTAAATTGTCAATCAAAATATTCAATTATCCTTGATCGATTCTGTCGTCAAAGTAAACTTTTTAAAAGATGAAACTAGTATAAAATGCATGTTACTTTGACTCAAAAATCGACCTGTCGCGAAATGCCTTCTTGCACGTTAAATCGCACGATAAATATAATGTTTTCACATTATATTCATTCATTTTCTATTCGATCATACAACTCGTATAAAGTTAAGAAAAATATTTCATATATTCTATAAAGATTGTATATTTGTAAAAATTGTATACTATTCATTTGTAACATTAAGAAACGCGAGTGCAAGAAGACCCTAAAACCTGCTCTAAAAAATATAACAGTGGACGTTACTATTCACTTAACTCGTGAAAAATAGCAAGTATACAACTGGTCACCCGTGTTGATTCGGATCTTTCATCCTACAACATGGTTGGGGACCAGAGGAAACAAAATAGCATGCGACTCACCGGTGATGACTTGAAGCCCCCAAAGTCATCCATCGGTCAGCATGGTCCTGCTGGTAAGATTCAGATCCAGAGACTGTAACAAAAATGCAAGAAAACAATTAGAATCTATTGTTAAAATTATAGAAATTTTTAATTAACAAATTTCAAAGTATAAATTTATACTTACGTTGTTCGCTCGTGGTCCACCGCCCGATACTCCCCGAGTACTGCTACTCGTTCCCAGGATCATGTTCAGAATCTGTAAGAAAACTGTAAGAAAACAATTAGAATCTATTGTTAAAACTGTAAAGATTTTTAATTAAAAATTCCAAAGTATAAATTTATACCTACATTATTTGCTCGTGGAGCATCGCCGAATAATCCTCTTCGGTGATGCACTGACTTTAATTCCGATAACGAGGAGTTTAAATTTCAAATTGAAAAAATAATTAATTTGATTGGAAAATATTAAATTAGAATACCGCGACCGAAGATTGAAATCGGCGAACAAATGATTCTATTATCGCGATTCAGAAAACAGAAAGAGCCACGATGCTCTGTAAGTAATTTAATATTGCGTAGAAAACACTGCTTCTATTCTCGCGTTTGCCTAACACCGCGAACGATAACGTGCTTGGGGTCACTTTGCCCCGAAAAACAAACTTGTTGCTACGCTCGATCACTGATTCTACCGGCCGCATTGCACGCGGCCAACAAATTTCCTGGAAAGAAAAGGGACAGGAGACAAGAAACACAACAACAAGCACATCTGTGCTTAGCCTATTCATTTTCTTTTTCCTTCTTACTAGACTTTAACAACGGAAACACTGCTTTATTTAGCACTGCTGTATACATAGTTTATCATGTAAAATATTCTCAATCAATGAGAATTTCAACTTATAAATACTATATCACCAAGTTTCATAGTTAGAGTTGAAAGCATGATTGTATTTACTTTATCGAACGTTATAATATCCCGTAAATTTTATAAATATTCCGAAATTTGCAAGAATTAAGGTTCGCTAGTTATTTATGCTCGAATAGCATATTTCAACTACGCAGTTACTACGTTTTCTTAAACTTGCATCGAAATATGTATGCAAATTGCAATTACAACGATTCATAAAAAGATATAAACAATCAATTGAATAAATAATAGTCGGAAATATTTAATCGCGATCAGAATACAGTCTAATATAAACTATTGCAATTTATCGTTGAATCTACCGACGCCATTTTTGTGTACTTCGATATGTATCGAAGTAGATAGAAAGTTTGTTAACTATTTTAATATTTTATCTTAACAATGACCGATTATAAAATTAAAATCATGCTTGCAACGGATAACTTAATAAAGCGATAAATATTAATATGGATGTTGATTTTTATTGTAATTATTTAAACGTTACCAAGCTACCCTTCAAAATTTGTCGACTCGCCTGCCATCTGTTATGGTGTACTTTACGCGCCAATAAAACTTCCCATGGCGTCGAATTTCAATCAGAGACTGCAACAGAAATAAAATACAAATTAAATCATAATTAAACAATGATTGATTATGAGGAAATAGCAAAGGGTTAGAAATGCATACTTCGTTGGTCGGGAAACGCCGACATGTCTTGACAGGTTTCAACAAGTCTTATTATTCCTTGATTTCGACTTCCAATAAGAGACTGTAACAGAAACGAAATAACGATACATTAAAGTACATGAACGATTATTATAATTAGGTGATGATTGAATGGAAACCGTATTGCAAGAGATCGTAATTAAAACGCGAGTAGTAATACGAGTGGGGAGATCAACAGGTTGGAAATACGTACCGCGGTCGCGGAGCACCGCTACGTCTCGACGTCAAAGTAGGAATGATGGCCGCCGGCCGTGCTCGGCTATGCTCGCGCATACGGCGGCGCGGTGGGGGAAGCGCCGATGTCTCCCGAAGCTTGAATTACGAACTCGAGAGATGCCTCGGATAGAAACCGCGGATAAACTTATTTTAGCAAATTATTTACAATTTTAACTAGTCAAGGAATCGCAAATAATTCGTACTTTTCAACTCGTATGCATTTACACGCAACTAGCTGTTGCCTATCACACTAATTCAGTGAGTTTCTCAACTGACCGCCATCCATGAGAGGAGCCCGCTAAAATCACCTTCGAATTTTCTCGCAACGTTACCAACAGATTTAGAAATTAACAAAAGAGGAAGTGAGACAGAAAATGAAATTACAGAAATTTTATTATTTTTTAACGGAATGAAAGCTGTGTTTTGCGATTTCAACCCAGACCTTATTTTTGTTCGGGGGAGTTTACAAAAATTTATGTTTTTCGGAAACACAGGGTGATGTGCGGAAACTCTATCAGCATTACCCAATGGATATTACAGAACAGAAAAAAAGTTTTAATTTGTTGAACAATGTTATTAATTTGATACAGCTAATCGGTGTTTTTATATCACAGTACTTGTTGACTAAATTAGCACAATAATAAAATACTGTCTTATAAATATAAAATAAAACAACATTCGTATAAAGTGCTTTATTCAAGCAGGGGCACATGTTTTAGTTCTAATCTTGGAAACTTCACTTTTTGTTCAATCCACTTTGCTACCGTAAGAAGTCTTTCCTCGTGGAAAGGTGGTGCCATAAGTTGCAAAGATAAAGGTAACCCATTTTTGGAAAGTTCAATCGGCACATTGATTGCTGGTATGCCTGCCATATTAGCAGATTGTGTACAATAATCTTGAAGTAAACACTGTGTTTGATTATCCAATGTAACAAATTCATTGGAATTTGGTGCTTCTGACAAAGTGGTAGGAGTAAGTAAAAGATCAATGTTATTGTTCCATACTGCATCAAAATCATTGGATATTAGTCTTCTCATCTTCATAGCTTTCACATAATATTCTTCATAATTTTCTTTTAATAAGAAATAATTTCCAATTAAAATACGCTCCTTAACTACATTGCCAAATCCTTCTGTTCTAGTTTTCGTGTAAGATTCTTCGACGGAACTCCACTCGTCCGCTCTATAACCATACTGCATACCATCATAGCAAGCTAGATTACTAGCAACGTCGCAACGATTCAGGACTGCATAACAAGATATAGAATAACTTGTGTGCGGCATTGATACCGTAGAAACTGATGCACCAGCTTCTCTCAAATACTGAGAAACTTTGTCCCAACATTCTTGAATATTTGGACTTATATTTTTAAGTTTATACTCTTTTGGTATCCCAATTCTAAGGTTACTAATATCTATTGTGTTTGGTAAATTGAGTGGCACATATTCTGTTCGTACAGTGGTAGAATCAGCTTCATCCGGACCAGCTATAGCATTTAGAACGAATGCTGCATCATCGATGTATCTTGTTAGAATACCAGGAACATCCATAGAATTTACAAGCGGAATAAGTCCATAGCGTGACACTAATCCATAAGTAGGTTTTAATCCAACAAGGCCACAGTATGATGCTGGATTTCTAGTAGATCCACCAGTGTCTGAACCCAATGCGGCGTAACAGGTTCCAGTAGCAACAGCCACTGCAGAACCGCCACTACTTCCACCTAAAAAACTCATTATTCGCAAAACATTTAACAAAAAAAGTTTGATAAAGCCTACCTGCTATATGCCATAAATTTTCATTAGAAGATTCTCTTGTATGTTCCTTTTGGCAATGATTACACGAATAATATTTTTCTGTAACAGCTGAATTCCACAAGTTCTTTGTTGGACCATAATATGAATTAACAGTCCCAGAACCCATAGCAAATTCATCAAGGTTAGTTTTGCCAATTAAAACTGCTCCAGAATCTTTTAAACGTTGATACACGGTTGCATCGTATACAGGAAAAAAATTTGAAAGCATCTTGGATGCGCAACTAGTTAGGTAACCATTTGTACAATAATTATCTTTAAGTGCAACAGGGATTCCATCGAGCTTCCCCAATAGTGCATTATTTTTCTGTCTCGCGACTGATTTCTTAGCTTGTTCTTTTGCTGTATCATCAGTCACAGTAATATAAGCATTTAGTGGTTTAATAATTGTTGTTAATTTGACAGCTGCTTTTGCAATCTCGGAAGGGCACACATCACCGGCATGTATTTTCTGACTTACTTCTTTTATCGACGCCGTGAGTAATTTATTCATTTTTCTTCAATTTGCAATTTTTCCGACAAATGGATTCAACTTGTATTTACAACCTTCATGCAAAACATAACCTTAATGTCTTTCTGGTACGAAAACATTGAGCAGTTATTGTTTTCATCGCTTTATTCGATAAAATTAAACTTCTTGTTAACGTATTATCATTTTGTTTAAGCATTTATTAAATTTTAGTATTCTGCTCGTTATTATTAGCAATTTTTGCAAAAAGAAAATACCTAGTTTAAATCTACCTAGATACCTTTGTATTCAAATTAATTCATGTAACTCAATATAATCTTATAGAAAATACAATATTTATTTTGATGTATAAGAAACAATTACACTGAAATTATAACGTACAAATTACGTTATAATTGCCAATCCCTTTATAGTGAATCACTTGAAAATAAATAATTGTTACTTATTTCCGAAAGTAAACTGTCTGTTAATAATAAAAAGCTGCTGTCATTTATCTAAAATACAGCTGGTTCGGTTCTACTGACAAACGTTTAAAACAAAAGATTGTGTAAAAGGATCACAATGATACACAGAACAATATCTTTATTTGAATATAACAAACGTATTTGCTGTATTATCATCGTAATATAATACAATTACCGCTACAATTAACAGACGATACTATAACGTGACGTGTATCTACTTTGTTAAATTATCGCTTAGGACTGCGATACAAATGAAAAGAAACGGAAAGAAAAATACACTTAAATAAAGAAAACAGTCTTTCGAGATACAGCGATTTAACAACTGCGAAGAAATGCGACTAATTAATCGTACTTGTACGTATAGCACGCAAACAATCGATAAACTTATTCTAACTTCGGTTACGTGAAAAAGGAATACTGATATCTAACAATAATTCACGAAATACTCCCGACGCGAATATAGACGTAACATAAACGTTTCAATTATGCGCATCCGTTTGGCATAAATATTAAATTATTCGTAAACGCGAATCAGGTTTACTACTACGAGTAATTGTAAAATAGTAATTTTTTTCGCGTCGTTACAGTTTCATTCGCGAAACTGTTGGCAGATATGATGCTTACGTCCAATACAAAATACCATATTTAAAATACATTCTCTACACGAACCGATTTTGCTTTGAGTACGCATTCAATATACATTCTCTATACGATCCATGTTATTTAAATACAGTTTGATTACAATCATGGCAAGTAAAACTTTGTCCCTTCCATTAACACTTTCTACACAGGCCGCGTAATTCCAGATCGGTATCTTATTTCAGAAACATCGAACTAACAGTATTTATCATTCAATTGACATGTAATATTTAACGTTACGATTAATTTTTCTCCTGGTGTATTGAACTTATAATATGTATTTCTTCGCATTACCACGTAAACATTATGATCTACCCGAGAGGCTTAACTTATTAGTGAATCGTTAATCAATCGCTCTTATTCAACGATGTACTTTGACGAATTTCGCAAAAAAGTAAATTCATTGCTTTGCCCTGTGATCGTAAAGAATCGATATCCGACCAAGAAACTAGAGTTTTTTTATGTGTCGTTCTTGTAGAAAAGAAAGCCCTTGCTTTCGTTAAAAAATTTCGTTCTCTCGCGGGTCAAAATCTTTCGACGTCGAGAAATGGAATATTATCATTATTCGGTTCTATTAGTGGCTCTTAGGTGAAAGCAATACATACCGTGACAATAGCGAAAGAATCGTGGAAAAGTTAATCTCGTGCGTGACCGCGACGCTATATCGAATTTAACAAGAACTTTCTCCACGATATTCCCGAGATTTATGTGACATCATCGTTTCTTTAATACTTCACTATCCTACGGTAATAAATACATCACAAAAACGCACGAGCCATGTCGTTCCAACCGTGATTCTCATTTGTTCCCGTGAACGTTAACTTTTGAAAACGGAAAATGCAGTAAGTGCTCTAATCGATAACGTACAGAAACAGCACATTCTACAACCGTTTCGGAAAAAATTGTTATTGTACATAGATATATATCATCGATAGATTGGTCGTCGTTTCGATTCGTTTCCTTTCGACGATCAACCATGTCGCTTCGGACATCGTTAACGCTCCTATCGAACGATCGTCGTAAGACAAACTCTTTGTCTTATTTGTAAAATCTCAAACTTCTGTCTCGACTATCTTGAATATTCGACCATATTGGTCGCAGCATCTATCGACCGAAAATAATTCGGCCCATTAATTTTTCAATCATCCCCCGATCATATTCGAGCTTTCGTCGTGCCGAACCGCGCGGCACCCAATCGTTCGCTTAAGGAATCCCCTTAATCCGCTGGGTAGAAACGTAAGATCGCGCGTCCTTGAATCTCGGAGTGGCACAGCTTCTGCACGACATCGAGAACTTCTTCGGCGGGATAGACTGTGTGCGGTGGCGGTTCGATTTCACCGGAAGCCACCAGCTGAACCAGTTCGTGGAGCTGTTCCAGGGTTCCAGGCTCGACCGATTTGATGCTTTGCTGCCATTCCTCCGCGCGTCTACTGAACTTTGGCAGTAGCCGATCGGCAACTTCCTTGATGATGAAAACAACACCACCTTTGCTCAGGCATTGCATACTACGATGAAGACTGCGGGAAGTTATGCCAAAGTCTATCACCACGTCTACCTGACCGCAACAGGCATCTACGGTACGTTCGATCAATTGCTTCTCGTACAGGTCCTCGCTCCACTGGACTACATTCACGCTGTATTGAGAATGGAGACTGTTGGTGAATAAATCGAATGGACTACTAGGTGGACACAAACGAATTAAAGATTCAACGATCTATCTAGGTACAGAAATCTACTCGAATTTGCAATGGAGAATACGTGTTTCTACAAAGCACCAAACCAAAGCACCAAACCAAAGCACATTCAAATAATTTACAACAGAGAGGAAAAGAATCAAATTGCCCTATTCGATTGGTCGACAGATTCTTCCTCTTTATGCTACGGTTTGAAAATGACTACCGCCTACGTATGAATTTTACGACTTCAGCTGGTACTACGGTGTAATCACAATACGAACATAAAAGTGCGTTGATAATGAAAAATATAACGTATACAAACCGTATTATTTTTTATCAGGTTAAATGATGTTTACGTTCGTGGCATATCGCATATATAAAAGTACACGGAAAAAGACTCGCGATACGCGTTTACATAATACTTATCACGGTAAAGATGTGTCAAGTACAAAAAATTATCGCGATGAGTTCATTGTTGATACGTCGATACTATCAATTTGCTGAATCAATAAAGGCAAATTGGTTCTGATAACAGAAATTGGGCAGGTCTAGTTATATGTATACAATTTAACGAGCGTCATGCATCTAATAATAATTAACCCTTGATGTTTAAAGAAACGCAACGTAACTCCAAAAAATGATCAACATTACGTTATTTTTTAAAAATCTAAATCTACTTGAAACGCCCTAAACCTACACAACACCGACATTGCAATCGTCAAGTGACTAAAATAACTCACCGTTGAAACTCTTGGGCCATGATCAATCCGTCGTCCTTCAACGAGGCGATAGTAATAGTGACTCGGTCCTTCATGTTGCTGAAGTAATACGCCGCGATCCTGAGGGCCCAGAGAGCGAGACCCCCGGTGCCGACGATTAGAATCTTGCAAACGTTGCCCTCGCCTCGTTGCTTGAGCAACATTTGGACGTGTTCGTGGGCGGCGAAGACGGTGTTCATGGCCAACAAGGCACCAGCAGGCAACATCGCCGCGATGCTAAGGCTTATGTTGTCGGGTATCTTTATAAGGTATTTCAGATCGTGAACCACCAGATACTCGACGTATCCGTTCGGTATGCCCTCGTACGGGTAAAGGATCACCCGATCTCCGACCGCGTAGCCACAATCTTCGGGCACGTTTGCGCCGAGAGACTCGATTATGCCTGCGACCTCGTAACCGGGGAACAGTGCTGCGTCTCGGACTCCGTGATGCGGCAAAGACACCGGAAAATCGCCCTCCAGCGAGGCTTCCGTGGCCAAACTGCTGCCGCTGGAGACAGACGTTAAGCTGGACAGGCTGGGCGAACGACGAGGATGATAACAGGCACCGGCGCACATCACCCGAACTCGAGCACCGTGTGCTGGAACATCCGGGACAGGGACGTCGAAACTGAATACCCAGTTACGGCCCGTTACGCTCGGGCTCTCGATGGACACCTGTCTGCACAGCTTGTTCATTTTCTGCTTCCTGAAACAGGCGAAAGACGACCCGTTCTTTCGTAACAACTGTGCGAGTGTTCTCTTTTTCGCCCGTAATTCACGGTAAATGGACAAAATGGGAAATCATTTAGAAAATAGGGGCAATTGTGCTTGCGGATATTAACGATGAGTGTAGCGCATGTTCCAGTGTCGATTACTAAAATACTTGTAAGGTCGAGTTATACTAGATTGAAGCTTCGAGGGGACATAACGACATAACAAGCCGGAGCCAACCATTAACTCATATTCGTGACGGCTTGGTATTCATACATCGATTAACCGATGCCTAGTTTTCATAGGCATTGTTCCTAGCTTGGATATACTACGCGACACAAGATGGTTCAGGCAGGACAAAACATTGCGTACCTTTTGCAAGGCGCACAGGGCTTGTGCGAGGTGATCGACGTCACTGTTTCTAATTCCACTGGCATTCTGTATTGTTCAGTAGTCGTTGATTGAGCACGATACTCAACGAAAGACTACAGTTATTCTTCTGTCAATCAACTATTTCCTCCCGTGTGTCGTAAACTTCACGAACCCAAGACTTTCTCCGCGCAATGAAATCTCGACTAACACGTTGCTCGATGCTTGCACGACTCTAAGACTTTTCAATCGTGACGCAAGCTCGATCAAATCGTAGATCTAGTTTATAAAGGAAGGTAACGAATGTATGCTCGTAACAACCACAAAGCTTCTCGACGATCGCGTGAGACGCACTGGCTGAACGCGTCAGATGCTCGTTCACTTTTATAGCGTCACAAGCTTTCCCGATGAGGCTGCGTTAGTCATGGCAGCAGGAAAGGGGCAATGATAGTGGGGTGGAAGAAACAGACCATGAGCAGGTACGAGCATTCACGAACCACGTGCAACCTCTGTTTTTCTCCTATAGCGACACTCGCGCATTCGCCCACCGCGTCGTGATATGCGCATGAATAAGGCACAGATAGACCGTATATTTTTTACTTTTCGGCGCCGACCCGGAGATTTACCGCTTGGTAGGGATATTCTTAAAAATTGTACAAACAAAAAATATTTCTTTTTTCTCTCGACAGTGATCGAAACAGCGTTCAAATCAACGCGAGAAGCGTGTTTGGCACAAGAACTTTTGTTTTATCAACAAAATCCGTACTGAATGTAAATAACATTACCAAATATTTTTTGTTGAATTTACTTTTCTGCTTCGTATACATTGTTACTGGAGATGATTTTTGTGTCATGGGACATTGTGTTAGTAATCTCTAACAATCCGTAACCGTTTGACAAGAAGGTTAATTAAGGGGTTAATGAAAAGGCATAACGCATTAAGAAGCATAGCGCAACGCATTGCAATTGTAAACTACGAGATCAATCTATTGTTTATCGTTAAACAAACTGCGACGCACTCGTCCGATGGCAATATCAAACAATAACAAACGTCGACGCCTACAAGTACTCGGTTACCTAACTAATTCTATTTGTTTAGCATTCATCTATCGTGTTCTGCTACTGCGTAAACATCGGTTGACTTGCATCGTCGTTATCTATATCAATAAACAAAGCTCCATTTTCTTCGGACGTACTTACACGTCACGCGATTCAAATGGGCGAGAAAGTGCGGACTTCATTAGCAATCTACTCGATCGATGCATCGTCGTACAAGAACGGGACGAATTATTTTATTAATTTATCGCGAACAAAAAGCCTGCAAACTCATTGATTTTTACCATACAAAAATACAGTAGAGCAATTAATGGCGTTATGATCCCGTCCTTGGTTCCAACGAAGAGCACAACGCGTTACGCGACTTGTGCCGCGCACAGAAACGTTTGTTATTCGCGGGAGAGAAAAACACACCGTTATTTTATCCTCGTTCGACATTTCAATCATTTCGACATTTCGATCGTTTATTGATCTTGCTCGGAACAAAGTACAATTTTTTCATCGTCTCCTTTTCAAAGTGCATTTCGTGTACAGAGATGCAGAGAAAAATTTAATTTCGAAACAAATGCGCTTTAATTTTCTTTCGTGATAACGATCACCTGCTCTAAAAATGTTATATCGGCATTTGAAAAAAAAAAATCCGATCGACGATACAGATAACGTGTTATTTTCATTCAGATAGTGGAACTTGCCATAAGCAATGTGCGTCGAGGGAAAATAGTTTGTAATGGTCATAAGAAATAACGTAAAGTATTAAAGTATAAAGAAACTGGAAAAATTCAACGATGCCTATGATAAAATTGTCCTGATTTAGAACAAATTGAAAATAGTGCTGCGTGATAAAAATGTATAGCCTATAATGCGTATTATAAGCGAATGAATAAGCACAGCTCGATGTAATCGCAACAGATTTACAAAGAACAAAGAGTTTCCCGTGACGCATTCGACGCTACTCGAAACAAAGCGATTTCTTACACGGTTTATCAAATTACAAAGCACCTAGGCTTCTGCTGCACCAATGCTGTAAAAATAGCTTTAATCCACAATTATCGATGTACGTTAAAAATATCGGAACAGCACTCGCCTTATGCACACACGTTGTTTACCACACTATCACAAACAGATTTACTTCCTTATTTTATATTCTATTTTAGTTCTGCTACGTCTATCATTAGAAACATGTTTACAATGTTTTATTTAGCAACTTAAGAAATGTCGTTTATTTTCAAAAGTAAATTGATATTTTTCTGTGATCCCATAAGTGAAAAATTCAAGTACAAATTTACGCATGTGCATGAAATCTTCGATGAAATTTAATTGGGACGCCTAATTAGATTCTGATCGGTGAACTGTTACATTTCCGATCAGATTCCAATTAAAACGGAACCGATTACAATTGGAACCCAAAGATTCGTCCACGCAAGTAACGACTATGACTACTGTGTGATTCGATTCGCCTTTATATTTTCTATTTATTATACTTGTACTTTCCCCGTTCGGCGTGTGAATATTTTTACATAGATGTTGAACGACTCGCAGACGCCTTTTAAATTTACTCACTTTATTGTCATGTTATCGTGATACACAAGCATAAATCAATCGCGTGAAGGAAAATATATCGTATCGCTTTATTCTACGTTTCTACCGAATGATATGGACGTTTTTCTCCTGATATATAATCATATTTATTTTACTAAAAATGAAATAACACGCGTAAGAACAACAACCTGTAAAAAGTCCGAATTGGAAATGAACTCATACACATAATTTACCATATATCATATAAAATACTCGATTCAACGTTAAATTATAGGTGTAACAGAGAAAACTTTAAAATTTCAAAGAAATAAATAAATCTTATCCGACATTAATCATACAAACGTTTATGTATTTATAGACCATCTTGTACGATTAACATGAGTTAAGACTGTTTGTTTGAACGCTGAATTCTCGTTGCCAGTAAACGTTACGAGACTACTAGAATCTAGTCGCTAGATAATACATATGAATATACAGTAGGTTGTGTAATAAATCCGTTTGCGCATTATTTAACAAATTTTATATTATGCATATTTTGTACCGTTTTGGAAATAATTTTCTTTTTTAATTCTATGTTATACGTTATTGCAAAACTTGACAAATAACGAAAGTGTGTGATTTGAAGATAACTCTACAATATTGAACCGTATTTTCATAAACTCGATTTTATACGGACGAACAGTGGTTCCAAATTGTTATCATACATTTCACGTACAATGTATAAATCATGCATACATGAATTAGTATTATTTACAATCAAAATGATTGCTAAATCAAAATAACTTCTTTAGAAAAAGGGAAAACAGTGCTTTTACCGTGAAATTGATGACTGCATCGGTGTATAACAAAGAGGGGGGAAGTCGGTCGATGCCGTAGTACCGTGGCACGCTGGAATCACGTGCACATCAGTAGGCAACCGCGTGTTCGGCCGACCCGATCCACTCGACACGCTCTCGCGCCATTACAGAGTTCTATGCCCGCCGTGTTTTGGGCCATTTTTATCCCCTAACGGCTGGCGTCGTACGCGTTATAAAATTTCACCGACGATATCCGCATTCTGCACAACTAATTTTTTAAGCGTTTAGAATATCGCAACACGTTCCACGCCCAGAAAATGTCTGATTAGCTTATCGAGAATCATCGGAAAATGATAAACACATAAAAACAGCAACACCTAGACAGAATAACAGTAAAGAATATACCATACGATAATCATAGCGATAAAAATAACGAAATTAAAACATGTACAAACGTCATAGAATAAAACTTCGATCGATAATTCCAGCCAGCTGCCATTCAAGCTATAAATATGTATACATAACTCTAATGTTTGTTTAAAAGCGGTACACCGACGCAGGGTGATAATGAATCCCAACGTAGGCGTTAAAAGGAATTATGCGCATCTCGTGCAGTGTGTAGGCGATGCATCAGCAGCATCTAGGACATTAACTCTGTGGAAGCTGACAATGAGTCAGTCAAACTACACATTTGTTTTCGCGCGTGTCCCCGAGACACGAGACCGCTTCGTGGACACTTTCAGATCATTGTACGATTTGTTATCAAAGAAAGCTCAAACGTCAAGAAACACGTCGGATCATCCATTCTCCGGCGTGAAAATGAAATGCATCCTCGGTATCTTCCTTTCAAAAATAAACGAAGCGTGTTTTACTTTCAATTATTCAAGGCCTCCCGTGATGTACATCTTCTATTCGTCCCAAAGTGACGCAACATTGTCATTTGAAGGCTCCTTTCATCTTTCTCAACATTTTCGCGACAGAATCCTTGCAATAATTTTCAATATACATACAGACGGTCCCAGTATCTAATGAAGCAAACATGTTGATGAAGGTTTATGAACTTTTAGAAGAAAATAAAGCATATTATATCGTGGAATAAGAAAAATACTTCCGGTAATATTTTTATACTTACTAACAGTAAGATTATTCTATATTGTAAGAGATCGGCCAAAAGTTGTCCTTTATTTAAAAACACCGTCTTGTAACAATTCGCAACACGACATCTTCGTCTATACATATACATGTATCAACAGTTGCTAAATTTTAAACACAAACACAACGATAAGCGATAATTCACAAATGCTAACAAACTTTTAAATAGGCCGCCAAACTGATAAATCCGAGGATGTCAATTATGCACGACAGTTTCCGTATCCTTAGGAACGTTTAAATGAGAAAATTCATTTTAAAAAAATCGTTGTATCGACAAAAAACATCGCTGCATTGTTGCTATCCCTAATCTTATTGCATACGCTCCCAAATTGACAAATATAATTGAAAAATATTTGGAAGCAAGTTCGTCAAAGTGCCATGTCTACGAAACGTCAGCAGAAATTTTCAGATCGAGGTTACCGTTCGGAACGAACCGTAAAAAAAACTACCGAAACATTTTCCTGGAAAACGATTATTAACAGACATACTACTTTCTCACAAAATCGCAATTCTTATTTTTCACAAATCATTATTACGTAGAACCACTTGATCGCTACAAAACTGGAACGTTGTATACAATTACAATGTTTTAAATGTGCAACGTTTGTTTCGATCAATCTTTTTCGGACTTGAATGCGAAATTGTAAGCAAGTGGTATGAAGGATGAATCAAGGATGTCTCCTCACCTTATAAGTTAACTCTTCTGACAGCGTCGTTGATAATCTCTAATAACAAAACCGAGAACAGCAACGTTCACAAGATATAAAGGTGATCGATTCAAACTCGTACAAAAACTTGACCACGTAACCCGTATGATCGCACACACATACCCCTACGGAGTATTCTGATAGATTTACAGAGGGCACATTCGCGTCCAGCGAGGGCGCTGAAAGCGGAACTATCATTGCGCCGACTCCGAGAAGTCTGCAAATCCAACGTCGAACTGTAACGTATGGAAGGGATGTCATCGATCGTATGTCATACAAGGGGGTCCATAACCTGTAAATAACCACCCCTCTACCTCATTTAAAAATTTTTTAAAGTGTTACTTTTACGAATAGAGGACTTGAACAAAGTAATTTGTTACTTAGACATACATTATGTATTCCTAGCAAACGAACCGTTCACCGATCGGGGTGAATACTACGTCATTCGATTCGTTTAATTCGGTACATTATTACACAGTGAAGACGCAGCTTAAGGGGGTAGACACGTCACGTGACCTCGCCGATTCGGCAGGTCGGTATTACAGCAGCTATTCTCTGCACAGAAATGGTAATACCATCAGATACGCTTCTGCCTGAAGAAACTAGAGGGAGCTGCTTGCTATTGCCAGATACCATTAGTTATTGTATATGAAACAATGCTGATAGTGGGAATGTAAAAAGCGGATTGTACATTTTCAATTAGTTGAAATATGGTTATACTGCAAAATATAACGTTACGAGAATGTTGCAGCAAAATGAAATTTATTACATTAGACAGTTTTTTATTAGGAAAACACAAACAGAACGGGAAAGTTATGCATTTATCCTAACATAAATAAACGTCTGATACAGTGGCGGACAAAAGTATTCGTACAGCGAAGAAATAATAAAAAATCTTGTTATAACTCGTAAATGAATAATTTTATTCTACTAAATATTATGTAGTATTTATACTAATAGTTAAGAGAAATAAATATACATATAATTTTATTATATCAGATTAAAATTATATTCTAGACAAATCTACTCGCTCTCTCTCTCTCTCTCTCTCTCTAAATATATGTACATACATGTATGTATTATACGTTCAGAAATGAAATTTTCAATCAATTTCATTTAAAGCTACTCGACAGCTATTGCGTTCTAATTGAAATCAAAATCACTTTCCGTATTTGAAGCATTCCGTTCTATTATGCTATCTGTATCGGAATCTAATAAAGATTTAATTACGTCTTTCTTTTTCTTAAACTCATGTTCGGTAGATAACTTTTCGCTGCTACTTTCATTCTCATCTTGTTTTTCCAAAACCTTTTCTACTTCTTGATCCTTCGATTCCTCCTGTTGTTCTTTACTGTTTTCATTTTGTTCGCGTTCTGTATTATCTTGTTGCTCTTGCGAAAGATCTACCTGATTAGGATCGCGTTGTTGTTTACAAGTAGAGGAATATTGTTGATTCAAGTTTTCTTGATACTGAACGTCGGTATCGTGTTCATACTGATTTTCAGGATTGTTAGCCAACTCTATATTCGATTCCTGCACGTGGGTGACATTTTGATCGTAATTAAATTCCTTGTTTAAATCAGCAGACGGTGTTTCGGCGTTGTGGGTATCATTTTCTTCTTCGTTGTATTCTTTGATATAATCATTACTCTCTTTACTCGATGTTATAATTTCCTGGTCATCGTTTTCATTTACACAAGACGCTTGACTCGATTCACCATATTCTTCTTCCTGCTCATTATCGTGCTTTTTCTCTTCATCAAATTTATTCGGAAGAAACTCTGCACTTTGAAGCATATTATCGTTAGTAATACAATTCTCACCTTTACTCTCTAATTCTTCGTATTGCGAAGTAACAACTTCGTTTTCGTTCGGTAACGATTTTTCTATATCAAAACATACGTCATGCTGTTGCTGTGATTGATCTTCCATATCATTAGAATCCAAAATTTCCACGTCTTTGTTTTCTTCAACATTTTGCTCATCTGCTTCACTTTCCACAGCGTTTGCCTCATTGGAAAGTTTGATTTCCTCTATATTAGCATGGTTTAACTCAAATTCGTCAACAGTCGGCTGTTTTTCCACGGATTGCTGTTTAATTTCATCGATTAAATCTGTTAGTTTTACTTGTTTCTGGATATCATCGAAATTCCATGGCTCTAATTCATCGACAACGTCGAACGAATATTGCTGTAATTTCGATTGTTCTGCAAAATCAATGGCATCTCTTTCGTAGAGTTTGTCCTCTCGTTTATCTTCAAATGTAGTGTCATTACCATTCTCTTTCATGTCATTGTCGTTCGATGAAACAATAATAGCAACATGCTCGTCATCTTGTTGCACTTTAGATAATTGTTCGTATTCGTTTAATGTATCATCGGTATTCTGTTTTTCACATTTCAATTCGTTCGTATCGTCTTTTACTTGCGTCATTTCCTTCGAAATTTCCTTCGGTGCGTTAATTTGCGTGCTTTTAATCAGATCGAAAACTCTATTTTTATTTTCACCATTTTTCGCGCCGTTTGAATTCACCGGTCTAAATGTAACGTTTTCTTTTGGTTTATTTTCCGGTAAAAATTCTACTTCGTCGTCCAACAAAGTCGCATTAAAAGTATCTTCACTTTTATTCCGATCCTCGTTGTCTCCTATCAAGCTTTCTACCTCAAGATCGCGATAAAGTTTTCGAACTCTGTCAATGTATCTGTCCAGCTCGTTTGTTACGCCATTATTTTCTTCTGGAAGAACTTTCCGAGCAAAGTTTTCGTGTCGTTTCATCATATAATTGTCGTGCGTGTCCCTTAACGAACGCGTACGAGCCTCCGGGACTGGATTTTCACAATATTCAGATATTCTTAAAGAATGGTCCAAGTAACTTGATGGAGATCGTTTAGGAAAATTTAATTGAGTATTCGACATAATCATCGGGGTAGTTTCAAACCCTATCATTTCGTCATCGTTCTTTGTCGGCGTATATGAATTATTTAACAATATTTTATTATTTTTCTGTGGAAAATATTCCATCATCGACGATGGATTAATACAATTCTGTGAAGTTGACGATGTAGTTCGATTTTCAACTACGCTCGTCCCTTTATACTGAAATACACAGTCGTTAGAACGTTCAGGTATTACGAGACGTGGCCTAGTTTGAATCGTTCCCATCCGCTGCGGCGACGATTTATTGAAATCCTCGATGGTCCTTTGGTTTAACAAATTCATTTCCGAATACGAGGATGCATTTGGAATACGTGGACTAGAATGTACTTGAAAATTATGGGAAACAAGATTCATGTTGTCGTTACAATATTCTTGATCCTCTCGATCATTTTGCGACGACAAATCCGGAAATGATGATCGTTGAACGCTTAAATTCGTTCGCAAAGAACTCCGACTGTCGCTTCTTCGTTCGTTCGACGCTCTTAATTGTATATTCTGTTGGGAATTATTAGAATACATATTTTGCATCGATTTAGTGAATTTTGACACGGAAGGGAATACGCATCGATTCGTTTCAACATTTTTCTGAAACATTTGTGGCGACGAAATGCGTTTGACTTCGTTAGGTAAATGAATCTGTTCCCCGATGTTATTTCTTTTCAAATGTCTGCATTCAATTGGATCGGTCGTACTACCGTTACCGATAATACGTCTTGGTGGGTTGTGAACTGCATAAATTTCACGAAAATAAGCTTCGTATTGTTTCTGAAAAATAATGAAATATCATTATATTCTGAAATTGGTAACAAAACAAGAAGAAAAACTAAAAAAGAAATATAGAATAAATTCTTTTTATTTTATTGGATAAAAACATTGTAATTCACCCTAAGAACATTGAGTCTGTTTGTTTTTGAGGTCATCGATGCAAGGCTATTGTCTACTCTATCCAGTGCTTCGAGAAGTTTGTAATTCCTTTCATCCCTTGTACGTTGTGCTCCTAAAGATTCTATGTACTTGTAACGCAATTTATTTATACACGCATCGTGCCTGAAACATTAATTATTTTATGAAATGGAAGCAGAGCTCGTGGATACCTTTCCAACATTTCCGTACAGCGTCAAACAAATTTCTAAAAAATGAAAAGCAAATTAAAAAAAGAAATTGACGGGGCGCGAATGCAGAAATTTTTCAGAAATAAAAGGCATTCGAAACATGAACATTTCCGTAGGAAATTGAAACGGCGTCTATGCAGTCCCTCTTTGTGCTTACGATCGATACTTGCTCGGGAATATTATGTATGTGTACTTAAAATCGTCAACACAAAGGATGTGGAATTCGTGTCCGAAAGAAATTGTGACATCTGGCTTATATTTGCATTATTGATTGTGACATTTCCTAAAACTAGGTCGCTACCAAATCAATATATAATTACTAAAATACTTTCGAAACATTGGAATGATACTAGCTCTCACATTGTTAATTGTTCGCTACAGTTTCGTGAAACATTATCAGTAAAATTTGTTATTTTAAACGAAAAGAAACCGTCCCGGTAATTATAGTATACGATAGGGTCAGGAGTAATTTAATTTTGAAAACTCACCTATTACGAGATTCTTGCACAAGTACTTTGAATCTCTCGTCTAATCTTATCCTTCTTTCCTCGCTATAATGGTTGCAATCGTGCATTATATATGTTTTTATTTAAAGAAAAATTTTGTTTTTCGTATACTATACGCTACTTTGTTAACAAATATACGGCAAACTCACCTTTTCCGTAATTTTTCTTGCAATTCCAACATTTTTTTGTGATAATTATAACCGTTATAAAATGACGTCATAATGTGAACTTGAACTTTTAACGAAACAAAAAGGAAGTCGATGTAATCAATTGTAATCTAATCTGATAATTGATATATCGACGTTCGATATTTTACACTTCAACAAAAACTAGTGTTTAAACAATGTTTAAAAACATGGATATAGGAAAATGCAAAAAACAATGAATTTTCCATAAATATCGCGCAATGTTTTGTAAACAAATATTGTTTCCAAGAATTGTACATACTTCTGATACTTTGAAAAACTATTTGAATTAATACCGTTACTAAATATGTGTAATAATATTCGAGAAAATTTAGTTTGCGAAAGCACGTAATAATAGTAATTCTTTGTCAACACAACGAGCAACTGTACTATTTGACGTCAACCGACGTACAGTACAGCTGGGGTTGTTTCATCAAGAAAACACGCAGATGTTATCCCTACTCCTGGACTAATATCACGCAATAGTAATAAAATAGATATACAAAGGATAATACTTCAATTTCAGTTACAAAGAAGCGAAAACGTTGTCTTCCTTAAACTGGTCAACAATTAACATTTTTATTCTATTTAACTAATATAATCTATAATTTGAATATTACACAATCTTTAAAAATAATCCTCCATTTCATTAAAAATATAGTGTATTATTTGAACTTGAAATATATTTTATCCTTTTTTTTTTTCCAAGCATATTTACTTTTTACGAAATGTGTTGATTGCACTTTGAATATTAGTTATAAAACTCATTCAAACTTACTCCACTCGGTGACAGTCAATTTAAATAACATTCTTCATTAAATAATATAAAATAAAATGTATGACCCAGGGAACATGTTAATTATTAGAAGGTATAAAGAATAAGTCATTATATTTATATTTAACTATTATTTTATTTTCATGATCACGAAACGTGATATATACATTTATACTTATGAATTAGAATTAGCATTTGGTCCACGTCGACGGCCAAAAGTTTGAACAACATTCACGAATCTTCGATTATACTGAATTCGTCGTTTGGCTCGACCAGTTTTCTTTTTGCTTTTCTCCTGCTTTTCTACCTATACAACGAACAAACGTAATTAAAATACAGTTAACAGAAAAATGAGGACAAACATTGATACAACAATAACACAGAAATGATAGAACTGTTAAAATTTGCAAATAAATTAGGTCCTTTTGTGTGCAACAAATTAATCACCTTTGGAGTTTGTGCTTTTACTTTCCCAGCACGAGCTAAAGATCCGTGCACTTTACCTGAAATATTTAAATAATTACATTACTTCTGTTTCACTCTATTATTGATACTTCTTTTAAATTATCTATTTACATATAGGAAGTCTTACCTCCAGGAAGAGAAACTGTTAATTCTAGAGAATTTGAGGCAAGTTCTCCAACTAATGTTTCATTTCCTAACAAAATGCCAGAACAATATAAATTGAATTCTGTGTTGGCAGCACCCTCCAACTGCACTATTTTTCTCTAAAAAAATGGAAAATTGATTTTATCTTGTATTTAATAAATTTTAAATACAGATATTAAATGACAATTTATTTAATATGTTCCAGAAAGTTCATAATTAATTCATATTAAAATTCATAAGTCTTTTACATAATGCAGTTGTACTTTAGTAGTTACAATCAGATCTATTAGCAAATAAAGTCTGTATGAACATGTTGAAAAGAAAGAGATAAATACAAGAATGTGAATATTTAATTAGAAAACAATTTTCATAATTACTTTATTGTTTTCTGCATTACTTTTTCAAAAAATAAATGTTAACGAGTGTTGCGAATGACGATCAATGGAAATATTTCTGATCACCAGCTCATAAATTCGTTCTTTAATATTGCGTCGTTGCTCCTCCCAGAGACAGAGGGTGCTGACTCTAAGTTATCATTATGACGCAGTTTATTAAATAAATTACAAAACATTACAAGCTACTAATAATATTAAGAATATGTAACTAAAAATTCTAACTATAAAAACTGGAAAAATCCTTATTTAATGTTATTATTTTCTCACCATCGAAATTATTTGTTAATCCGATGTTAACACGTTCGCGACAGGCCAAAATTTCTACCATATACAATGGATCCAAATCACAAAAATTAAAATACTTATTGTTATAGACGTAATTAAGATAAAATAATGTAATTACATTCTTATCATACCTTTATCTCCCCAATAGTTGCATCTTCGTTTGATTCGACGATAGTCGTACGATCCCCTCTAATGTGTAACTGCATGTTTGTTCTAAGTATCAAATAAATCCATTAAAAATGTTTTAACAAATATTTGAATATTTATAACGGTTTTACTTAAACGTTAGAACTATTCGTTTAAAATTTTCTAGTAAAATAAATTTTAGATTAGAATTTTAGAGAATTGAATTTTGTTATCTATAAAAACAAAATATAAAATGCAGTAGAATTATATCGAAGAAAATAATTATTTAAAAACAAGTCAAATAATACAATACGTAAAGAAAACGTAAAATATTAAGGAAGGAATTTATTGAATGAAAGATGGACAATTAATATTGACACGTGTTATTATACCACTTTTGAAGGCATTTCAAATCACCTTTTCTTTTATTTTAATCGTACAGGACATTGTTTTAAAAGTATTTTATATCAAATAATCAATTATACAGCAATACTTATTAGATTTAAAGTTAGAAACGAAAACAGATGTACATACCAGTAAAGCAACAATGACTAAAAGGATCTTCCACAATCTTCAACCATAGAATACCTAAATCATCTAAACTAGATGGGCGAGATTCTTTTATTGTTCATGGTCCCTAAAGTAGGTGGCACTACAAATTGTTGTGTGGGTTTCCAATAAAGCAAAGTTTACGACAGAAATCAATAGATTTAAGTAAATTAGAATTCAAAAATAAAAACTTGGATGGAATGAAAATTAGATAGATCTTTACTTAACGGACTCTGGTTAAAAAATACAACGACATACTGATTTTCAGTTTCACGTTACTAATGTAACTAAGACAATTTTGTTTTACATCGATCGCATAATTTCATAGATTTAGATATTATTGATTTTATAATAAAACAATATAGTAGCTACACGAAGTGCTTTCAAATTCTCGTTTTTCTTCAGAATTAAACATGGAATGATTGCACAATTTATAGTAAACAGATTCTAGGAATAAAATGTTACTAAAAAATCACACCTTGTAATTTGATACCGCTAGTAACATTTATCTAGTTACTTTGATAGTTTAGGGTGTATTTGCATTTAAACTAACGATTTTGACGACACATGTAAAGAAGATTTATGCTCGCTCACTAATCAAACGAGATCACGAAAAATGATAAATCACTGAAAAATCACCGTGATTAGGAACAAACGTGATCGAATCATTCGCGATTTGTAAGTAATAGTTCTAGCCATCGCTAGTATTCATAGCAATTTTTACAAGAATCAACTATAGAAGAGGTTAGATTCAAATAAGGAAATTCATAGAAACAACATCAATTATTTCGATGGTATTGTTTTCCAAACATCATCATTTTTTGTACTTAGTTATTTATTACGAGGGCCTTGAATACTTTAAGTATATTTTAAATATTTCGAAATATTTCGTATATATTTTTAATATTGCAAACTATTTCCAATATATTTCGAAGAAAGAAACAAGTATCTGAAGTATCAATAATAATCTCTATTGTCCAGATTCCCCCAGATTAATAAAAAAATAATTACAAAATAGAAAGAAAATGCCCGCGGTTTGGTGTGTTTGCATTTGCCTCACCCCACCAAAAAGAACTCGCAAAGGATTATGGATAATTGACGCACTTCCCTTGTGCGCACACCCATATTTAAAGAGAAATTTTTATGAAAATCAACAAATTACTAAAAACCTTCGTCCGTAGTCACTAAATCTCGTTCCTCGTAGTCCTTTGGTACTCTTTTCGTCCCGTCTAGCGTGTTCAATTAATTGTAAAGGTTACCGAATTTTCGAAAACCGTTTGCAGCGCCATTGCGCGGCGCTCGCAAGAATATTCCTTGTGACGCAATAGGAACTCGTCCTTTCCGTTGACCTACCGTGAGTGGAACATGTCGCATACGTCTGAACGAAAGTAAGTTCAATTTTTTACACCCGTAAAACGACAAATACGTTCGATTTCCTCTAATTTACAAATTCCTCATTTCCATTCCGTATTCGCGAATATTGGACACGCGTGGTCGAGTATAAACAGTGTACATTGAATCGTTAAAAGACAAGCACGATCGTGAGCGAATGCACGGACGTGAGACTGACAACATGGCGTGCGTTCGTTTTTGTCACATTGTTCCTAAAATTCGAAACCCGAGGCCCATGGTGCCACCAATTTTATCGAACGGTCCGTTCATTCTAACCATAAACATTCTGGAATTATTTATCCGTCAATCGTAGAGGTTCAATGTTTCGCAATCTTAATCCGAAAAACAACCATGCACTTGACCGTGTTCTGAACACGTTTTTATTTTACGGGGCGAAATTACGTAATGGAAAGTGGATTTTTACGAAAATTTCGATTCTAAAATGAAATTGGTGATTGGAAGTATATTCTCTAAGATTGAATGTCGAGTGGTCAGGCATGCTTTCACGTGAGTCACTGTCAACGCATGCTTCGAATCATCGATAAATTCGTCATCCTATTTATCAACTAATAAACTCCTATTTCTATAATTACTAATTATTCAAATTAAAATGTCATATTAAATTTTTAATTTTTATGTTCAAATTCAAAGTAAAAATTGTTATGATTTTGGTTCCTTGGAATCATTGATAAATTTTTCATAGTATTTATCAACTAATAAACTTTTACTCCTACAATTGTTAATTATTTAAATCAAAATATCTTAAATTCCAACTATTGAGGTCTTTCGAACCAAACATTAAAATTCACACAATTTAGCTTCATACACATAAATAAGCAAAACTGAATAAAAACCTATTTTTCTAATAAAAGTGATCTAAATAAGTAATACAAATCCAAATAGAAATTTTTAATTAATTAACTATTGTATAAATAAGTCATGTAAATCCTAATAGTAGTTCTTAAGTAATCATAACAGATCTAAATAGAAGTTTTTCTAGCAAACTTTATTCGTACAGTTCTGTTTTTCTTCTTGAAAATTTTGTCATTTTTTTTCGTATTACAGAAACGATGATCAATGGCAAGAAGATTCAAAAAATGACCCTAGTGAAAGTGAACAAGTACCATACGATGGCCCCTCTGGAATGGATCCCAATGGGATCATTGTCACCAACTGGGATCATGTAAGTCTATTTTTTTAATAAATTGGAATAGAGTCAATATACAGGATGTTACTGGATAATAATATGTTATTATTATTTGGTATTAAGAACTGCTGTATCAAAATTTACATGAAATGTAAATAACAATAAAAGTAGCTTCCTTTTCTTCAACTTATTTTCACTCTCTGTCTGATAGTACCAACCGTCTGGTAACACCTTGTATAGATATTGAACAAATAAAAATACAGACTCCATATTTCAAAACTTTTCATTTCTATGGAATTTTTGTTAATCAAAACTAGGTCGTCGATAATTTCGACGAAATGAGCCTGAAAGAAGAGTTGCTGCGTGGTATTTATGCATATGGTTTCGAGAAACCTTCTGCAATCCAGCAACGAGCTATTATTCCGTGCATAAGGGGACACGATGTGATTGCGCAGGCACAATCAGGTAGAAAAGTTGACATTTATTTAATAAGAGACATGCAATTTGAACAGACAAGACCTCTGGTCATTAGAATTATAAAATTAATAATTTAATTCTACCGGTTATTATTCAAATAGTAATTTAAAAATAATCATTTCAAACAATGTTAATTGTTATTTCATAAATAATATATTTCAACTATTCTTAGGTTCTTCGTTTGATCAACTAATAACAAATTGAAATACTGCTTATTTGACGAAATAATATTCGTTTCTTACATGATACATTTTATAAAAATAAAGAACATAATAACTATGCATTACATATTATCTATCAGTGGTATTGACTGACTTACAATATTATTTATTGTAGGAAAGATTTGTTATAGCTTTTAACAGAACTCTATTAGGAAACAAATTATTTTCTGAAATTGCAAATAAATCATTGCATTGAAGTTTATTTACATGAAATAATGATGTTGTTACAAATAGATTATTTTTCAAGTAGCTCTGAAAATTAATTTTAAAGTAATGTATTTCGAAAACGCCCAGGTCTGTGTCTATTGTACTTATGGGAAATTTTGGAAAATTAATTTCGAGTGGATGTTTGATAGGAACTGGAAAGACTGCTACATTTTCCATCTCCATTCTACAACAAATTAACACCTCCATCAAGGAATGTCAGGCCTTGATCCTAGCACCGACTCGTGAGCTTGCTCAACAAGTAAGTATAAATCACATACTGTACAGTTATGAAAGTATTCGAACGCTTAAAGTTACAATTTTTAATACATCAAACGTGTGTAACAGCCGTTAAATTGATACTATTGAAAGGAGGGAGAGAAATGAATAAACGTTTGAATACTTTAATAAGTATGTATAAAAGAAATGAAATTTAATCGAAGCTTTCTCGATTTCTAGATTCAAAAGGTTGTTATTGCTTTGGGAGATTTTATGCACACGGAATGCCATGCATGTATTGGCGGTACCAACGTGCGCGAAGACATGCGGAAATTGGATCAAGGTGTTCACATAGTGGTTGGTACACCTGGTAGAGTCTACGATATGATCAGCCGGCGAGCATTGCGCGCCAATAGTATCAAACTGTTTGTTCTGGACGAAGCTGACGAAATGCTCTCTCGTGGTTTCAAAGATCAAATTTACGATGTATTCAAGTTATTACCACATGAAGTACAGGTAATTAAACTTTTTTTAATTACTTTATGTTATATCATTTGATATAATGAAATTCTCAAAATTGTTTCTCAGCCCGAAATTTGAGCTCATTACTCATTAATATAATTGGATAAATGTTTCTCGTTTCAGGTCATATTGTTGTCCGCTACAATGCCGCAAGATGTGTTGGATGTGTCGAAATGCTTCATGAGAAGTCCCATTCGTATTCTGGTTAAGAAAGAAGAGCTCACGTTGGAGGGTATCAAACAATTCTTTATTTACGTCGAACGCGAGGACTGGAAATTTGACACTCTTTGCGACCTTTACGATACGCTGAGTATCACGCAGGCGGTCATTTTCTGCAATACGCGACGCAAAGTCGATTGGCTAACGGATAGTATGCGATACCGTGATTTTACTGTATCCGCCATGCATGGAGATATGGAACAGAAAGAACGAGATTTGATCATGAGACAATTTCGAACCGGATCGTCGCGCGTCCTCATAACTACCGACCTTTTGGCCCGTGGTATCGACGTTCAACAGGTTTCTCTCGTCATCAACTACGATTTACCTTCCAATCGTGAAAATTACATTCACAGGTGAACCTACTCTCTCTTTACATTTCAATTTATATTAATTTTCCCCCATTTATAACCTTCTATTTGCAAAAAATTGAATATGAATATTTTACTAATGACAAATGGCTGACATCATAGCCTTTTGTTTTATACGTGGGGAAATCTTCATGGACACCGAAGCTCGAGCCCTCCTAAAGGGGCCCAAGGGTAGTGCTGGAGTCTTACCGGTTAAAATCCCACGATGGCTAGCCTCAGGCGCCTCAACGGAGGACTGGGAACTCTAGTGAGACATCATAGAGTCCCCCGCTTGAAAAAATTAACTTGTCAGCTCCAACAGCTTTTTAGCACATTCTTGTTTAAAAATTGTTTGATCAGGTCGTGATCTTCCTTTATTAGTATTCATTTTTCAAGAAAAACTCTAAATATAATACAGTGATATATAAATAGATTCAAATCTTCAGTAAAGATTCACAATTTTTCAACAATTACAGTCAAGAAACACTTACTAAACGTTCAAAGAATGTTATACTTAGACGTTTAGAAGTGAAAATAACTTGCCAAAAATGTTTAATAAACGTTATATTTACACGTTTAAGAACAACAAATATTACGTTTCAGAATCGGTCGAGGTGGTCGTTTCGGTCGCAAAGGAGTAGCGATCAATTTCGTAACGGAGGACGACAAACGGGCTCTGAAAGATATCGAAGTTTTCTACAACACTAGCATCGAAGAAATGCCATTGAACGTCGCGGATTTGATTTAAATCTGATCCCGATTACTGGCTAATAACAAAAATTTCATTATAATTACACACACACAACAACACAACAAAAAAAGATTTAAAAAATAATAAAAATAAAAGTAAGTGAAATTACTACAAAATCGGAGCTCTCAGCTGATCTCTCATGGTGTGCAAGTATATATAGAGTGGAGTCGGTGAACTATAATCGCTTATGTAAAACGCGATTATACCAAAATAATTCCAAACGTTTCTCTTCATCTACAGTTTTCATTTTATAACCGTAGAATTTACAAGGAATATATATAGTTAATCGCTAACTCTAGAAAAGAAAAGGAAAAGAAAATTAGTAATATTAATAATTATACGGATTACTTACTATACCGCTATTTCTACCACCGTGTTGCTCTTTACTATAGTTCTTTCTATACTCTTACACTTCTTTCTCTCTCGTTCTATATTTATTATCTCCCCCCTCCCTCCCTCCGCGGTAATAATATTTCTATTATTTAAAAAGCTATCGGTAAACCCTGTTATAACTATAAATACTGGAAAATTGTTGCAATTATTGGTACGGATTTAGTAGTTGATAATATTACAACAATTGTTGCTATTGTTAACGCAAAAGCAACGGAAAAGAAAAATAATAAGCTGTTTAATTCGTTTTGTCCTAAGTCGGGTGATTTTTATAATATTATTCTAGAATGGAAGCTAAGTGTCGAAATTTTATTATGAGTTTGGAGTCGTTTATATTTGATCATTTTATTTCACCTTGTTTGATACGAGCGTTTTCGAATTGGATGATTTATTCTGTATGCCGTGGACCCTGTTCGACGGTTCTGCCACCCCGGTTGCAACGCGTTTGCCTAGGAAAATGTTTAGTCGGATATTGGAAGGGGTACTTTAATCACAAGCGTTGCAGAAGGAGATGTACATTCGAACTTACACGATACGAATTTTTGTATATCCCAGAATCCCAAGTACATACCTCCGTTAAGAAATAAAGTGTTTGACCTTCTATTATGGTTTTCCTTATTACATTATTAATTAAAATGTTAATTAAGAAACGAATCGAAGAAACTTTACATTTAAATAACTTAAAAACTAAACATTTTGAGAAAACATGTTAAATTCTTATTAGTTTCTGCGGCGGCCTCTTGGACCTCCATAACGAAGAGGTACTTAGAGACCTCCCTCTTTAGCAATTCAAGGACCATAGCTCCTTTCGCGTTTTCAGCCAACTCTAGGCAGTCCTATCTGGGCGGGGAGGAAGGCGCAACCTTCCCCCCTTTTGTCCCGTGGGTTTCGTCGATATATCTCCTAACATGACGTATCTTTTGGCCATATTCCACGCATCCGTCTGATTTTTCAGGCGGTAGGGGAGGTGAACCCCTACGTGATGTGTCCCCAGGTGGCGGATAGGGGAAGCCGCTGGAATAGCATGCAAGGATGGGGTCATTCGGCCTGAGAGGGCTGGTATAGCTCATATCCTCACATAGTATTCCTCCGAAGGTCGGAGCGAAAGCTCCCGCGGACCAAATACCATTATGAAGGGGCTGGGGTGTGGGACGTTTTTTGCCGCGGGTTATACCTAATGGCGCGGGCAAACCTAGCAAGCCATCTCATGACTTGCAATCGTAACACTGTAACCCATCTCTAAAAAATATTCTCAGACATTTTCAATATTAGTTTTCAAGATGACACTGAAAAGGGACCTCTAAAAGTTCCCTTGTGTTCAGCAGATAATTAGGCTGTGATATATTTTAGTACATGGAATGATAACCAGATGTCGCACGTTGTTCATTTTCAAAGATGGCAGCCACCATATTAACTGCATTGGCCGATCGTTTATAGTTTTTATTAAATAAACAGAGTATCAAATTAAATATTATTACATATTATTATCATAGTAATTAAATGATAGGCCATGAATCCTTTAACGTAAGCATCGTTATTCTATCTTCAAAGTATGGACGTCAATTGTTTAGAGTGCAAGAAAGAGTTTTCGTTATATCGTGTACAATATTTTCAGAAATGTAAAAAACATACAAAAGCTTGGGGAACTAGAATTATATGGTAATAGGAAAACATCCTGGCACAATCAGTATAAAGACAGTGCTTGGATTTTTGTTGGTGGTTTACCATACGATTTAACAGAAGGTGACGTGATAACAATATTTTCTCAGTAAGTTTAGAATATATATTCAATCTAATATCTATTAAAACACATATGAATGTATTATAATATATAGAAATATTGTAGGTTTGGAGTAATAGTAAACATAAACTTAATTAGAGACAAAGATACAGGGAAACAAAAAGGGTATGGTTTTTTGTGTTACGAGGACCAAAGAAGTACTGTATTAGCTGTTGATAATTTTAATGGTATTAAGGTACAAATATTGTACATTAAACAATTTAATTACATTAAAAATTACAATCATAAAAGTAAACACAATACCTGTTTCGATTATACTTTAGGTATTAGGTAGAACGATACGAGTTGATCATGTAGCAAACTACAAAGCACCAAAAGATTCAAAAAATATTGATGAAGAGACTAAACGTTTGAGAAAAGAAGGTTGTGCTCCAAAAAATATATAAGTTGTATTTTAGTAGTTTTCATGTGAAATAAAGAATCATTGTGCCTAATATAAACAAAATTTATATAAAGTGCATATTGTTTTTACAAAATAAATTGACTATATTTTGAAACGAAGTACGTATTTTGTGATTTACACTAAAATTAGTGTTTTTAATTACTTTTATTCATTTTACATTCTATTTCTATGGTACTTTGTATATTTTTAAAGAAAATAAATAAAATATTAAGAACTTCATTTTTAAATATCGTTAATTAATATTTATTACTTTTATTTAAAAAACTGTAACTTCGACATCGACAAGGCTATTTTAAGCGATTATTTATATTGTATATATCAATATCGACGCGTATAAAATTTCACAATTCTAATTCGAACGAATGAGTTCTTCGTAATTATTAAATTTTTTGAATGAAACAATATCAAGATGAACCAAATTCACTCATCCATTTTTCATACTTTTCCAAGTCTTCTTGAGAAACGCTTTTATTACACCTTTCCACGGCTTCGTCAAAGTCTGCCGCGGATACGGGTAAATCTAATTCTTCTTTCGGTAGTTGTCTGATTTGATCAGGTTTTAGACCAGCAATTTTCTTTCGCATAGACATCATAGATGCATCTCTGTATAGAATATACATACATAAACTTGAATATATTTAGAATTTTAATATATACAAAAATATAGGAAACCTTGTGTAAAATTTTACTTACCTACAAACGTTTGTAATATCTGCACCAGAATAACCTTCCAACTTTTTTGCAATAATTGCTAAATTCACGGACGAATCTACTTTTACTTCGCGTAGATTAATTTTTAATAACGCTTCTCTACCTTCGTCTATATAACACATACATACGCGATAAAGAATTAAAATACCTATATAACATGAAAAATTTAAAACCGAAATTGTGCAACACTTACGATTCGGTAATGGAATGTAAATACGTTTTTCTAATCGTCTACGAAGAGCTTCGTCGATGTCCCATGGAAAATTTGTTGCTGCTAATACCATCACGACTTTACTTGGGTCTTCGCTACAAAATATAGTCTCCCTTGTTCTCGATTCGTATGATCAAATGTTATTCTTGGCATACATAATTAATTTATCGAGCTTATATTATACCGTTACCTATTCGAGCTTATACCATCCATTTGAACAAGAAGTTCAGATTTCACACGTCGAGAAGCTTCATGTTCGGATTCGGATCCCCTTCTAGAGCATAGAGAGTCAATTTCATCGATGAAGATTGTGCTAGGTGCATAAAATCTGGCCTGTATAAATAAATATATATGTACATTTAATAAAGCTAGTAAAATAACACATTGTAGTTTAGAAAATTTAAAAAAAAATAATGCATCCACATTATATAGGAATTACCATTTCAAAAAGAAGACGAACAAGTTTTTCTGATTCTCCTCTGTATTTCGATGTTAGAGTAGAAGATGATACATTAAAAAATGTTGTCCCACATTCGGTGGCTACTGCTTTTGCAAGCATTGTTTTTCCAGTACCTGGGGGTCCAACCATAAGTACTCCTTTCCAAGGCCGACGAATTCCCTAAAAATACAATATTATAACAAGCGTCATAATAACATAAAACCTACAAAATATTTGCGTGCATACTTTAAAGAAATCTGGCATCCACATTGGAAGAACAACAGCTTCTTCCAATAGTCGTTTTGCTTCATGTAAATCAGCTATGTCATCCCAATGAATATTTGGATTTTTTTGAACAATATCTCTCTCTATAAAATTAGAGTAGCTACATAGTGAACGATTTAAATTGGAAATTATTAATTTACACAAACAGGTATATTACCTAATAAATCTACTAGATCTTTATCGTTGCCAGATGGTTCAAATTTTCGTTCTTCTACTTCAACATCAACCTTTTCGGTTTCTGACTTTTCCTATAAAAAATATTTATACATTGTAATGATATTACATTGTATATGGAATAGTCTATAAAAAAAAAAATAAGACCAACTTTATTTATGTCGTCTTTTCTCGACACTTTTTTCTCATCTTTCTTAACAATTGTTCTAGCGTCTGATTTCTTTCCTGTAACGATTGATTTTCGTACACTCGTCCGATTTTGTTGTTTCGATTGATGTTTCAGTGGTCTAATATTTCTACAAATATATTTCTTTGCATTAATACCCTATGTAATATAATGTAATCGTAATTTTTGATTAAGACATTCTTTTTTAAAATCAATGTTACAAAAGGTGTTACATGGGTTTTTTTACTTTTGTTCTACGGGTGTCAAAGGTGGCCATACATCTGGATCTCTTCCTAAAGCCTGATTCCATGATGCATCCGAATTATTATAGCTCCATAAAGTTGGATCTCTAGTGGGTTCTTCGAACGATAAACACGAAGTACCTAAATTAAAAAAGTTTACTATCTTATATTTGTAAACAATTTTAGTAAAAATTTATTATACCGTTAATAATACCCAATAATCTTTCTCCGTGTGCTTCTACTTTAAAGAGCTGTAAGGTATTCGATGTTGCCTTTACTTTTTCAAATTCTTGTACAATTTGATGCTGGACAAGTTGCCATTTTGCTTTCCGCGTAGCATCTGCGATGCTTGCCAGCAATCGATGAATTTGTTGTACAACACCTTGATAATAAACTCCAGATGTATCATAGTTTCCGGTTAATGCCATTTCACGAGCCAACTTTGTATTTTCACAGATTTCATTGATCGACACTGCCATCATTCTGTCAAAATGTATGTTTATGTACATATACATATAATAGATGCACAGAAATTATAAATTATAGTATGTTTATAAAAAATATAATTGTAAAAATATTAATCCTGATTCAAATTTGAAAACTTGAAATATAAATTTAAAATAAATAATTTTTAAATTACATATTAGTACCATCTCTTAACTTGAAAACACAATAATTTATAATAAATTACATAAACATTAGTTAAAGTGTGTAATGAAAATAATGTGATCAAGTACATGTCTTTTTAAACGGAATTAAATATTTTAAGCATCGTGTATTGAGTGAATTTTACAACTAGTAAACAGGAAACGAATAAATACTTATTAAATTTTTAAATAATAATTCTGATATCGTATGTATATGATGTATACGTATAAGGCAAATTAGTTTTTACAGGGTGTTTTAAATATTAATTGTTATATTTATTATAATCAAATACGAACATGAAGTATTTGTATGTACCTAAAAATTAATAATACGAACTATGTACCATTAAAAAAAACAAATAAAAGTTGCTTATAATTAATGTACTGTAACTCGATAAGAGGAATTAACGAGAATGGAAAGAGTCTATTATACAGAAATATTTCAGATATAATTCACTTTAATTTGTTAATCACAATCACCATGTTACTCCCAATCAATTTTAAAAGTCGCAATTTTACAAAAATATTAGGTTATACGCTAAGACGATTTATTATGTACAGTGTATGCATTCGTAGTACAAACGAAGTATGTCTAACATTATTTTCATGTATTTTTGAACATTACTAATATAGAGAACTAGTAGAGATAAAAGTATTTATAACCGTTATTTCAACTTCAAAGATGCCTAGAATTATAAGAACACTTACATGAAAATTATATTAAGAAATGTTTGAAAATTACATAAAAAAAATATGTTTGCTACATAAATAGTTTTAAGCATTTTTAATCGATCAACAAAATTGATTTTAATGTAATAATAGTTCTTTAAACTTCGGAAATAATTACACTTATAATTATTAATTTATTAAACAAGAAGGAAAGTAACACTATAAAATAATTATAAAAATATATTTTATAAACGTTATCCGGATAGTCGAAAGTATTGATACACAATACAAAATTTCTAGAAAATGAAAGAAATAAAAACTATGGATACGAAGATAGATATTTTGTTATACAATATTAATAAATTATATAGCGACAAAATAAATAATTTGAAAACAATTAAGTATACAAATAATTATATTTTAAATAATTTGAAAAATTTACATTTATTCGTAATAATGCATTATAGTACATCGCACTTATTTATTTTTTATCAAAAGTATCAAGTATTTAACTGTTCTACATCTTATAGATGAGGATTATTATTAAATTGAATTCAAATATTATCACTAAAGAAAATCATTTCTTACAATGTTAATTTTTTTATCAACTTTAATGGAAAAAGTATCGATTTATTATATTCAATAAAACAATCCACATCCAAGAAAAATATATTTTTAATAGTACAAAAGAAATTATGCCGCGCAACTCTCTGTTTAGTACTATAGTAGCAACATCAATAATGTTGTTTCAATATCAATACTGCATTTTGATGTTTAGAACATTCTACACAATGGTAAAATCATTTATGTTCAAATATTTTGTTATTTATGGAAGCTACATAAATTTATTTAGGTCATTCACAGTCAATAATTATCAAGAAAATAACATTTATTTTATAAAAGCTTGCGTTTTAATATTTCGTAAACCATTTTGTTCCGAAAATATGGCATATCTTGTTGAGTAAATGTGATTTTTTTATTTGCACAAATATATTCAGCAAACATACAAGAGAAAACGCCACAATCGCTCCCATTCATTTGATGTGGAATTGTTTTTACACATTCTAATTTCCAATTATTAGTATTGTATGTTTGCTTCTTTTTGTCCATGCTTTCGTCTTCTAAATATTGTCGTAATGCTAATAAACATTTTGAATTGTTACCGCCCATACTGTCATAGTAACGAATAGTTTTATCTCTAAAATCAATTACAGACATACACCAGTGAATACCTAAATGTATAGGAATGACTATAAGGTCTTGCGCAAAAATATCAATTTTTCTTGTCCACCGTTTCAAGGATGAGTGTCCACCAGAGATTAATTTTGGATAGAAAAATGTATTCATAGCATGTACTTTTGGATATTTGTTGTTGGTGCTTCTGTCTATTAATAAGTTCATATAAAAATTGATTACTTCGTCGTTTAACCAATTTAGATCAGCTAAAGTGTGAATATCTTTTCTTGTAATTCTTAGTCCAAAACCTTCGATAAGGACCTCATCCGGTGGTCGAGGAATAAGAGCATGTTTTACATTCTGTAGCATTTCTTCTGTTAAACTAGGCAGTGTCTCTTCCGATTCTTCGCTTTCGTTCAAGACAGCCTCGCATAATTTCATAGATCGAGCTAAGTGCTCTTCTAAAGCAGCTTCTCTCGCTAAACGATTATTTTTAGACAATACATATGTTAACTTTTCAAGTTCTTCTACTTCTTTGTAGCGTAATTCTATTCGCGCATTATACCTTTTTGCTGTTTGAGAAACAAAATCATCCTTGATTATAGCTTTTGTTGCTAATTTATCTCGTAATGTATTTGTAGATACCTCTTCATCTTTAATTTCAATTATATCGCTTATATTACTACTTTTTTTACGCAACAAATTTGTTTCATCATGAATGGAATGTACTGTCTCATTCATTTTATCATTGTCTAAATATTTCACTATTGCTTCATCTTGTTTTTCTCTGTTACTTTTTTCTCTGTAGCGATTATTCCTAAGCATTTGTAACATTGTACTGCGTTTTCTAGAAGTTGTTTCAGGTTTTGAAATCGAAGATTTCTCTAGATCTATTACTTCTATCACTTCCAGTACAGGTCTTTTTTTTTCATGTTTATTACATATAACATCTATCCTATGCGGAAGAAAATTTTGTAGTAATTCATCATATTGACGTTTTTCTTTCAATCGATGAGTGTTAGTTAATGTTGGACATTGTTGACGAGCATCACCATTATGTGCTCTATCATTTTTACTGCCAATGTAACTTGTATTTAAATTATCACAACATGGTTCACGTTTACGAAGAGGCGAATAATAAATATATGTTTTACCCTTACTATTACAGCTACCATTCATTATTCTACTAGATGATGTAATGGGACAATGTATATGTTTAGATATACTTTGGACATTGTCACTATCGCTGTCATCTTTAACTTCAATAGATACATCATCCATGTCTACACTTTTATAATCACTACGGTTTTTTTTAGAAATCACAAATTCTTCTTCCACGCTTAATGAGTCGGCTTTACGTTTTTTGGGTGAAACATCTACCCAGTTAAAGATTTTTTTTAAAAAATCAAACAACATGGTTATTATAAACAAATAACTGTTTGCATCACAATGTCCAAATGTATTTTACTGGTGTGGCCATCTAATATATTTAAAATTTATATATTTTAATCTTCATGTAATCCTAGAAATGATGTTATAGTTCTGTCAGACAACAAAACCAAAGAATAATTTTTTAAGTACAAATACTTACATCATTTATAAATAAATATATATATATATATATATATTTATATATATATATTTATATACAGAAATACTTATGTATCCAACTTTATGAATTTCAGATTAATGGCTGCACTGCGTCACAATTACCTAAAATAATGTTCATAACAATTCATTATATTTTAATAATGAGAAAAAAAAAGTTAGACACAAATTGTTAATCGAAATTATAATCTACGATTACTGTTAACTAAAAGATACAGATATACGTTAGAAATAAGCATTACAAAGGCACTAACCTGATATGATTTTGTAAATCTTGTAATTTTTCGCTAAAAATCCCAGTATTTTATATTTGATAATAATCTACGGAAAAATAGAAAAAAGGTTGCACATTACAAATTTTACATACTTATTTAAATATATCAAGTAATAAACCGTGCGTTGAATTCCATAGGTATTAATGTTAAGCTATGGATTGACAACTCCCGCGTATTTTATAAAAACATATTACGCCTATCGGCGTCAATTTTAAGAACTACTTTAATACTAAAGTTAATTAATTTATTATAAACAACGAATGCAATCCAATATATATTTTTGTATTGGCCTATTATAATTGGGATTCAGAAAGACGTATATAGTAAATTTCACATATGCGTGCACCGCTTCCAGTTTGCACGTAGTGTATAATAAATTGTACAATGCATGAAACCACATGAAATGATGAAACTAAAGTGCAGGGTGTTTAAGCGTAAATGTTTTAGTTTGTATAATATTAATATAACGTGCTGGTCAATATTATAATCGGGACACAGAATACGTTTCGATTATTGTCTTTACTATAGCTTGTCTTATGGCACCCAACTATGTTACGCGTTATAATAGAAAAATTTTAAATCAAAAAGGGGTTCGCACCCGTGGTATCCATAACATTACTTTGGAATTGACAATTGAGTAATTTAGTCAATTATGCCAAATCTGGTTACACTGGTCAGAATTTCCCTATTATAACGTGCAACAGCACTACATATCGCTTTTCTCTCTAATATAAATTCTTATTTAGCGGAGAATTGGTTTAAAAACTACTAATTTAACTAATATTTGAAAACAGGATCCATTAATGTTAGCCAACGGATCCTAGAAGAAAAGGATTAAGAACCATTAGTCTATTCTATATCTCGACAGTCTCGACTATGGAATAGTTACCCCTTCGGTAATCAATCGGTAAAAAAAATAGATATAAAATGCACATATTATTGCATATTACTAAGCTGCAAATTTAATGAAAATTTACAATTATACTCGAATTTTACAGTTTTACACATTTGTAATTGATAAATAAACTTGGACTGAACGATATTTCTATCGAATATACATAAATATTACAGAAGTTCAATAAAAATAAAAAGTAATTAGGGCTAATGAGTAATATTAATCATGGTTTTATTGCTGTGCATGTGGGTATGTTATTCATTTTTTAGAAAGCTGAATGTTACTTTGATAAAAAATTAATTATTAATTAAATCAATAATGTTGCTTATACATTTCATTAGGAGCAGGAAGACATTCGGAAGCTCTTAAGGAAAAGTACCAAAAATTATGTCGTCAAGCATGCAAGGCAGTAAGTTATTTTTATTTTCTTACGTGTATAAAGTTTTCTATTTGATCAAAATTGAATTTTTTTCTTAGGGAATGCAGAATTTAAAAACTGGTGGTAGTACGTTAGATGCGGTAGTAGAAGCAGTGATTATATTAGAAAATTCTCCACTAACAAATGCTGGATTTGGTTCTAATCTTACTTTAGAAGGAACAGTAGAATGCGATGCCAGTGTTATGGATGGTACTACCTTACAATTTGGAGCAGTCGGTGCAGTTAGTGGAATAAAAAATCCTGTTATAGTAGCAAAACGTCTTTGTGAACAGCAATCTATTAAAATTGCATGTGGTAGAATTCCACCAAGGTAAATTTTTACAATCAAAATTATGATTTTATTTAAGATGATAAAATAATCGTTTTATAATTGTATCATATTAGTTTTTTAGTTGGAAATGGAGCACATGTATGGGCCCAAGAAATGGGAATACAAACTTTACCTCCGGAACAATTAATTTCAAGTCAGTAAAATATAATTGTATTTAAATAATTTTTATTAACATTACAATAATATATTTTAGTGAAAGCCCAGAAGATATACAAGCACTACAAAAGAAAAATAGAAGACTCTAGTATAGAAATTGATAATGTAAGTTTTATTTTTCATTCACGTTTTTGTGAACCATTTTAATGATATTGTTTTAAAATAACTTAATAATATAGTGTTCTAAAAAACGAATGGACACGGTTGGTGCAATATGCGTTGATAAACAAGGAAATATTGCTGCAGCTTGTTCAAGCGGTGGTATAATTTTAAAGTATCCAGGAAGAGTAGGACAAGTAAAATAGTTTTTGCTTATTTTTTACATGTTTGAGCGTTAATGAGTATAATGATTGTTTGTCGCATTTTACGAATATCAACTGAAATGAAATTTCAAGGCTGGAGTATGGGGATGTGGTACTTGGGCGTATAAAGACAAGTATTCGATAGGAACAAGTACTTCCGGTTGCGGAGAACATCTGATTCGTACTTCGTTAGCACGCACAATCGCAGAAGCTATTTCGGATGACTCTTGTCCCACTACCAGCGTACACAATGCTATGAAAGTTGATTTTATCGGTGAAAATCTGTAACTAATTTGTTACTATTACTCTCTATTATACAAGAAGTTTTTTTACATATTTAAAAACATGATGTAATGACTAAAATTGACAATTATAAATTAATAAAGATATCTGGTTTTAGATTCAAAATTTTTGTACGGACTCGATCAAAAGCTTGGAGGCGTTATTGCTATTCGGTACGCAGCCCAGGAAGGACTAGGAGATTTTCTTTGGAGTCATTCGACCAATTCAATGATAATAGGCTACATGAATTCTAGCGAAGAAACGCCAGTGGTATGTTTTTTTTTTAAATTTTCTAAATTAGAAAAATATAAATAATATGTCCACGTTTCTGCAGAGTCACATGTCGATTTTACCGTCTCACGAAGTTGGTAAAAAAGCAGTCGTCGAAGGGATATGTTTTAAAATCTCGGCAAATACTGACCCTTAGGAATTTTTTTTTATAATAACATTGACAAATCGTATTTTGTTATTAGCAGGTACTTTAATCGATAGAAATTGACATTTTCTTTATTAAATACAATAGTTTTTTTTATATACATAATTACATATTAAGTGCAGTGTTTTCTTCTAATTTTAGACAAATAATTTAATATATACTTATGTATACAAATCGTTTGTATATTTTTATAAGATATTCTCTATAAATACATGTAGAAATAAATATTTTTCATCAAGAATTTCATTAAGAAGTTCCAGAATTAATATATTTACAAGCTTCCAATATCGTTGAACCTCTTGAGTTTTTCGGGAAATATATCTTTAAACAAAACTGGATCTGCACGAAATTCGATCGATTGCAATGGCATCGAGCCGTAAATTGAAGAAAATCTGTTTATGCATTGCGTACGTTCCATCATATGTGTCAAATCTGCTGAAAGCATTTCAGTGTTTGTACATTCGGGACACCGAAACTTCTTTTTCGGCGTTACCTATAACAGAACCGATTATTTGATATTTAGTCTATTGTATAATATTTAAAAGGAATTTGAATGAACATACTTTTATTGGTGCTTTTCTTGTTATATTTGCCACTAAAAAATTCATAGCTATATCTTCACAATTCATATGTTCATCAACCCACTCTCTTATATCACCTGGCATAGCAGTGCTATACATATAATTCCAATACTGAAATATCAATTAATAAATACAGAATTCGAATTATTTCACTCAATTTGTATTAAGACATTTAAATCGTGGATATTAGGAAATGACAGAAAATCTTTTGGGAATACCAGGTGTAGCTTTCAGGAAAGAATTATTTTTCAGGAATTGATGGACTGTATTTTATGGTCTGAAATGGAAATATATTCGATATTAAAGTTTTTTAAATCAAGAGATATGGTATGTTTTATTACTTTATGATGAAACGCAGCTCCTGTTAAGACCATAGAAATACTATTAGTCCATTCGCTTTCATATTTCCAACAATTAGTTCCATTGTCCCACATGTGAATTCGAGATGGAAAACCAACTATTCGATCAGGAAACTCCCTCCAAACCTGAGATTATTTCTCTTTTTTACTTTTACTTTAATTTTTGCATTCTTTTTGGGTTATTATTCGTATAATTATAATAGACATACCTCGTAAGCAAATTCTACTTCGTCGGCAGTTAGCATTATAATATCGTCGTCTATCGATAAGACTGCTTCAGTTTCAATTTCATCATATGGATAAAATCTGTTGGATAATTTATTTTCCTTCGTTTGTATAACTTTTAATGGTTTATTCAATTTGGGCCATTTGGATGCTGTGGCATACCAATTTTTTAAAATATGTTTCTTGTTTTAATATTTAAAAATTTAACAATATTGAGCGGAAATCCGTACTAAAAGTTTACACCTACATTGCGGTGGATTTTTATGTTGATTGTTCCATATTATTAAAACTTTAGACAAACTTGGTACTTTAACAAGTTTATTAATCAAAAGAAATAGCAATTCCAATCTGTCGTACGTTAAAATTACTGCAGTAAACCCTCGAGTTTTAGATGCGGTAGTAGGCAAATAAAGCGGCGATGTAGTATCCTATATACGTAATATGAAAATGATTATTCGCTGAAATTTTTAAATATTTTCTTAGCTATTATAATTTATACTTTCCTTCCGAGGCGGTACATTCCAAAATAAATAATTTTTAGCCAAATGTGGAAATACACGATCCGTAAGTATTTCCAGCGTAGTTAACATTATTTTTTCCATAGATTTAAAATATTTCTTGTAAAGCCATGCACCTTGTTCTTTAAGTTCTATAATCCGTTGTTTAGATACTTTTTTCAAAACTGATATTATTGACAGCATATCTACTTCGCGTATAAAAATAGCAGCCCTAAAAATAGACAAGAGACGTTTATTAGTCATAATTTATAAAAGCATTTTTATTCGGTATAAAAACTAGTGACATAATTGATTTCTACCTGGTCCAATCAATTACACCGTAAAAAGGCATTATAAGAGAATCGGCTATAATTACAGGTATACTACCCGCTGCCATACATTCTAGAAGCGTACTTTGACCGAGTCTTGCGCCACGAATCACTAGGCAAAATGTTGACGTCTAATAACAATAATCTTGACATAATAATTTTCGCTTTATGCTCTACATTAATAATTGCTATAATTCATGATTAATTTGATATCATATCGTATCCTTTATTATTTTAATTTTTGTATTTTGTACTTTAATAATAACGATAAAAATACTATGTACCATATACCTGAAGTATATTAGGATATTTATAAACATCTTCTCCAGCACATCGAACCGTAATATTCATAGAATTATAATGTAGACACGGACCTAATATTAAAATATCTTTTGGCGACGTAGATTTAATTTCCATTAAATCTTGTTCAAATGCAGAATTAATATTAATTTGAGATGAAATAACTAACCATCTTCTAAGAAAGATAAATAATAAAATTAGATATCATAAATTACTAAGAGAATGTACATACATATATATATATAATTATATTACCTGGTATCGTTAAAAAATGATTTAAGGTTGTGCATAAGGGAACTATATACTGGCAAACTAACATCAAAACCAAATCTGTAAGTTAACGATGACATTCCTGCACCTGCAATCATTGCTTTTCCAATGGGTACATCAATGATTGTATTGTAATCAGGCACACTTCCTGGTACCATGTTAAGTATAAGATGATTTTCTCCATTATTCCAGCTATAATTGAAAGAATAAAACAAACATATTATACATTATTTTTTAAATGCAATAATATATAAAATAAAATGGTACTTACAATGGTAATGTCTTCAAAACTTGTGAAATTTCATGTATCTTTAATCTGTTTTGATTTAACATATCTATCGAAGGAATAAAGATGCAGGCTTCGTATGGATTTGGCGTATAAAATTTACTTGAAATAATACTGCTTAAAACTTGATAAAATTCTTTTGACATCTGACTTGTTATAGGTCTTCCTGAAGTGTCTACATACATTTTTGGTGGATAAACGTATACTAAAAGTTTATTTCCTTGACTGCCACAGCGATAAATATTAAAACAATCAAAATATGTACAAGAAGAATTGGTGGTGTCTGCCATCGAAGAATCTGTATTCAATATTTCTAGGTGTAAAGAATTTAAATCGTCCAAAGATATGGCATTATGTACGGAATGCTTTTGAGTATTTCCAAATTTAAAAATATAATACGTAGCGGTTAAAATAATGAACAACGTAAATATTAACAAACATATCACGAAAATATTGTGATAATGATAAGAGATCCTATTAGTTTTATGTGACATTCTTGTTAGAAGTACCATCGCGTTTTTTTTTATTTTATACGTAATAACTTGTACTCATTCAAAGTGTATTATAATGCACAACGTAAATTTTATATTAAAATTCAGTTAAGTATTATCGATTTTAAGTTTTCATAATTCTTCGCAAAATTTGATAAATACTACTGATTAAGTAGTAATAGTTCCATTTATATAATACTTATTTTTATGAATTATTAGGAAAAAAAATTAATGACCCATCAACTGCCATTTGTTTATAGTACTGGAAGTTATGACAGTGCAGTGGTAAGGCAATATACATGCAACGTCAACTCTAACAATGTATATGTATGTATGTTCATGTAAACTCACTGAGTTGATACATTTTTCCTAACTTTTTCTTATTATCATGTATCTGCAAATGTATTTTGATGTATCATGGTATATATGCTTGAAACGTAACTGAATCTTCTTCTGCTGTATGATAGAATAATTGTACGGATATTATAAAACTTTATTTTTAGAAATAATACATGTTGGATTTTGTAATTGTGTATTCTGCATGTTGTAAGAACACTATTGGTGAGTAAAAATAGTTTAAATAATAAAAAACAAGTATCTACCATAAATCATAGCTCGATAGTTTTGTAACACAATATATAGAAAAATTCATACATATAACAAATCGATATTACGTTTTCGTTAATACTTAATAATACTAAAAGAATAAAAGTATTTAAACATGTATATAGTTTGTTGAAAGTTTTTTGGAAATGTAAACAAGAAGAAAAACACGAGGAAAAATGTATTCGCTTCTATGATAAAGAATTACGTCAATAAGGTCATATAGTTTCTTGACAATGATTCTATAATGAGAAGAAAAGTATTCTTTCGTTAAAATATATGTAGCAGAAATATGGTTGTTAGATTAAGTGTGTTAGTTGCGAGAACATAACCGTAGTTTTAAAATAATAATTATGAACACGAATTGCAGAAATATTCTTAAAATGTACTTTATTTAATTTCTTCGGCTTAAGAGAAAAACTTTATACGAATTATAATCAAACATAAATATGTCATGTTATCGATATAAAACCAATAGTTTATTTCATCACAGTGTTATGTATCCTTTCAGGTTAACTGCTTTACATATATTTAATTGATCCATTGAAATAAAAAAACATTTCAATTTCCTAAAAAAACAAATAGAAGTTATTGAAATGGGAGCTGGACAAAGTGCTCGCAAGCTTACTATTAACAATGAAGAAGACATAGATGTTATCAAGGTATCAAATGCAGTTGTACAACAATTGACTCGCAAAGCAAACGAAACAGCTTCCGAACCAATAAACAAAGTAAGATCTACTACTTTGACACAATCATCTCCTAATATGGTTGTATCTCCAACAATACCTCAGAGTGGCAATGTACCAATGACTTCTGGATATCCTGTTTATTATTACCCACAATTAACATTAACTGCTCTTGAAATACAGCAACAGAAAGAGCAAGAACTTTATAATCAAGACCAATATTGGCAAGAACGTTTAGAAAATTTGGAAAAGAATCACTTAAAAATTAATAGCATTATGGATCAGGAATACAAAAGAGCTGCAGAAGAATTATATACAAGTGGTATATTGTTATTAACTATTATATAGTATTTATTAACTTTTAAAAGAGCTACCAACATCGAACTATACTTTCCTTTCCTTATAAATATAGTTTATATAGATTATGAAGCATAAAATAATATAAATTATTCATGTTAATTGTTTACTACCATTTTTACAGATCAAAAGAATGTGAATATTCAAGATGCCGTACAACCATGTTTAGAGAGTTCTACAAAAGTACTAAAGTGTTACCAAGAACATCCTAAAGAAATTCTGATGTGTTCTAATTTAGTCCAAGAATTTTCTGATTGTGTAGATCAACGCCGTGCCTGTGTGATTGCAGCACGTTGTTAATATCTTTCAATATGAAACACCGTAGTTCTATTGTTTTATAGTAGTCAAAACTATTATGAAGTTTAACATTGTTTAATAACAAAATTTTTAGTCATTAATAATAAATTACGTAATACATCGGAAAATTTCAAGTATTTATTCTGTCATATTTAAATTGCTAATAGAAATATTTGTAAGCAATATTAGTCTTAACTTCGTAACTTAAATTCAGAGCTATCATTGGTCCAATAAACAAGAGTTTGGAGGAATTAACTTCGCCCTATCGCTTGTAATTTTCATAGTGATAGGAATAAAGGGAGCTATATTGTCATTTATTGAGCTAACATTCACATACTCATATTTCTGGTAACATTGTGCATTTTTCTATCAGATTTCTTACTTTGTCAAGAACCAATGAAAAAGGTTCTTCGGTAACGTCTCTAAGAATGTTAGCTACATATTCTTCTGATAAATTCTTATATTCGTCTGCATCTGTAAAATACATAAAACATAGTAAGTGTGAAAGAGCTTATTTTTTTGGCTATGCTCCCAATCACTGAATATGTAACAGTTTCTTGCCTTTTATCGATAAATGACCAAATAGTTCACAAACAGCTATAATAAGAGCACTGGTATCCTTTATACCACTGCTGGACTTTCTAGCCCAAATGTAAATCCTCAAGTCTTCGTATTCTTTTCCAGAACCACCTTTTGCCCTCGTAATATAAACATTGTGTGCTATTTCTGCTTCTTGTAAATAATTTATTATTAAAAATGCCCAAGTTACTAGGTCGTCTATGCTCTGCACATTTGACCGTTTTATACAGAATCCATTTGCTGGATAATTTCTTAAAATTTCTACAGGACCTACAAATTCATCTAGATCCTAAGAAAATAAAAGCAATAACAAGGATAGTAATCAAAATGAATAGAATTTAATAGTACATGGTAATGTTCATAGTCTTTTGCTCTTCGTACATTACTTTGAATTTGATACCTTTATATAAATAAATTAATTAGAATTACTAGAAATAGAAAACAGGAAAATGTTTATTTACAATATATTCCAATAACATCCTATGGTTCAAGTAGTACAGATGCCAGTGAAGATGGTTCACTGATGCATAAGCACAAAGACTATTAAATGCCACTCTGAGATACCTGAAAATATGTTATTTTCTTAAAATGTTTTCAATGTAAACTTTTTAACATTCATACTTTTAAAATGATTTAAGCATACTTACAAAGAACAACTGAATGAAAATATTTCAATAGCTTTGTATAGACTATACTTTGTTACAACTTGAGGTAATTGTTTACATCTTTGTGGTAATAATAGAGAATGACAATATTCTATTGGACTAATATTAATTGCAATTATGTCTTCTTCATCCTTATTATTTAAATCCATTATTATTTCTTCTGATGTAAGTTGCATAAAGTTAAAACACTTCTTGTTAAAAGGTTGCATCATTGAAATAATATTTTCAGGAGATCTTCTGTTATATCCACGATCGGTGTTCAACTGATATAAATATAAAGTTTTAAATAAGTAAACATGCCATTATGGAAGAAATAATTGATTTTAAATATTTGTAATAAAGCAAAGGATTATTTTAATTCACAAAATACTAAATAACTTTAATATGTTATATTAGATTAAAACTTGTTCATAAAGATTTTGTTAAAAATTGAAATACTACCTGGGCTATGAACTGAAATTTTCCATCTAATACTTTTGAATCCTGAACGTTTAATATATAACGAAATATTCCTTTCGTTTGAGCTTCTCTCCATTTTTCTTTTAAAACATGATCAAAATTCGATTCTTTGCTTTCCTTTATAATTTTAATAAAACTATTATTTCTTCCAATCATAGAAATTAATGGAAGAGAACACTGCTTAAAAGTCACTAGGCTCCATTATATTCTGAGTGTTTGTAAGAGTAATTAATGTAACCTATAATTCCGTCAGCATTAAACCTTAGAGTATTTCAACGTATTAGTGGATACTGAAAACATAGTTTCTTGAATTCAGCGGGAACAATGAGTTAGTAGGCCATTTTAAATTTGTGATATTTTGAAGATTTATCGCATAAACGTAGTTAAATATATATTTTATAATTATTGTAGATACAGATACAAAATTATGTCAAGGCAAAGATATTTTCGAAAGAATGAATTATCTGTATCAGGTAATGGTATTATTCGACAGATTTTTGTAGTTGTGTTATAACCGTTGAAGTGAAATGATTGAAACAAATTTCTGTTTAGGTAAGCTACCTAATGGCGTTAAAAAATAGAGTTGCAGCATCGTATTACGGCAATACAATGCTAGGATGTGCGAAGAAATCCGTTTTACGAATGTAAGTTCTTGGTTTGAATTAATATGTTGACTGCCGTAGTCTTCATTAACGAAATTATTCCGGTTTAAATTTTTTCTACAGTCGCAATTTACGAAACGACTTGACTTTTTTCATAAATGAAAATAACAACAGTTTTATTCGAATAGTGAAGTATATAAATAACTGTTTCTCAGGGAATCGGATATAAAAAAAACAATTTGCAAGTGCTGTCAATGTCCTCTTATACCTGGTGAAACGGCAAAAGTACGGTTAGTGTCGAAACCATTAAAGGGTGTGAAATGGACATGCTTGGCTTGTCTAAGTGTTAAGAAGTATCCTACAAGAAGAGGCTATAAATTATGGGCTGAACAGCATAATTCAATAGTCCAAACTTTCAATTATGTATCAAAAACGAAAGATGGAGATCGCAACTCGAAGGAAGACAGGCATCTAGATAAGGATAAGGGCACAAGTACAGAACCAGAGCAGGTTTGAATATTTATTTTTATAAACTTTTGTAAACTAGAATACTCGTAACTAAAAGCATAGGCAGCGTTTCACTTAGGGGGCAGAAATAGTAGACAAGACATTTACACAGTATTTGTAACAATTTTTTTATATCATACTTGAGAGAATCGAAAGAAGTTTAGGTCAAAATCAGTCTCCTAACATTTGTGCCATCTTTTAATTCACTGCAATATAGAGGAAGACCTTGAGTGTATGAAGTACTTGATTGTGCCAGAACAATAAGAGACAAATTTTTTATAGCAAGTAAGTATATTTTAGCCTCCTTCGATACTTTTGTAAATAATAATAATAACCTGTATTGCAAATGTTTGCTAAAAGGTAAACAAAGGGTGTTACTTATTCAAGAGGTATGTATTATCATTATGTCCCATCATGCTGCATTTACAATTATATGAAATGATGAATTGCAGATTGTTGTAATATTGTTAATAAAAGCATTACAATTTTAAATATACATTATTATCAAATACACTAACCAATAGTATAAAATAAATGTATCGTAGTGATAAACTTTACTGTAATTTTTTTATTATTGTAAATGATTTCAGCTTATAGAAAACACGAATACAATGAAGATAGAAGTTTTATTTAATAAAATTCATGACTTGCATGAGATATGAAATTTGATGACTAGGCTGTATCGTATGTCACAGAATACTAATAAACTTAAAGACATGCATTTATGTGATATTTTATGAAAATAATAATTGATGAAGTTTCAAGTCATTGGCAGTTAAAAATGGGGGCAGTGCAAGGAAAAGAAAGAGTCTTTCACATGTCCTGAAATTCACCAGTACCATTAGCATTGAGCATAAGTATGTTAGGATTCTCCTTTTCAAAAGCAGTTGCATCTCTACCTCCAGGTCGTTCTTCTTGCCCCCATTCACCTAGAGCCACGTTCATTACATCTGGTTGTGCTTGCATCTCTTTCTCCTCCTTCTGTGACATTAATAACAAAGTATGATAAACTATATTGTTCGAAAACGGAATAAGAAGACTAGTTTTTAAGTATATATTGGTCATATGTAAGTTAAATCAACAATATTATTTATTATATGGTTTATTTATTATGTAATACAAACAAAAGCAAACTGTCAATTATTAACATTACATAACGAAGAACTGGACATTAAATAAATGTGCACTGACAAAAAATTAAATATTTGTAATCGGTATAAAGTAAGATTATTGTTGTTTTTCACAAACCTGTTTATCTTCTTGAGCAAATTTATCAAACATATTTGCATATAATTTTTTCTCTTTTACTAACTGTTTCTTAATAAGATTACTACAAACTCCAATTTGTTTGGCAGCTGCTGTATTTTTTGGATCTATTTTCAAAACTTCTTGAAAATCTTTAATTGCAATTTCGGGCGATGCTAATCCAAGGTAGGCTTGTCCTCTTCTGAACAGTGCTTTTTCATTTTGGGGACTTAATGCTAGAGCTTTATTACACGAATCTTTTGCTTCAACGTTTTGATCTAGTTTCAAGTAACATAGAGCAAGGTTTAAGTGAGCAGATAAAATAAGGCTATTTTCTGTTTCAGAATCTCTGGTTTCTTTAGATGACTCTATAAACTCCAGACACGAAATAACCTTTTCATACATTTTAATAGCTAAATTGTACATGTTTCCTTTGAAGTAAGTTGTTCCTTTCTCTTTATAAATCTTTGCTTGTTCTATAATTTCAGGATTGCTTAATAACCAACAATCTACACCCTGAAACGCATATAAAAAATGTTAGTTAAGATAAAATATTTTCAACTTATTGTTTGGTCTTTACTAAAATAATTACTTTTTCAAAGCTTTTCAACTCTACTTCATATTCCACGGTTGCATTTGGCGGAATATCAAATTCTGGTTTTCCCGCATTTCCAAATGCATGCTTGCTTTTAATTATAAGTATTGATTTTTCTCCAGTACTGAAGGATTCTAAAGCTTTCTCCACACCACTTATAATATTACATACTTCTCCTTCTCCAAGAGAGAATTGAACATCTCTGTCTTCGAATACTTTATCATTATACTTTCCTATTAAATGTACTGGAAAAAAAAACAAAAATTAATCCTAAGTATCGATCATATTAAAAGTCAAACATCGTACAATTACACTTACCATTTACTAAAGCTTCACTCTGTGGTGTGTTACTGTCTTTTCCTTCTATAATTTGATACCTTTCGATACTTCCATCTTTGTCAGGACTTAAATCTTCTCCTGTCCAATCAATTACTTCAATCTGAAGCAACAACATGAACAACGTACGTGCAATATTGAACCAGAATAATTATTTGATTAAGTTAACTGGATTAAACAGTAACTTACTTCAAACTTCAGTGTTGCATTTTGTGGAATTTTAGGTGGATTACCAGCCTTCCCATACGCATATTCAGGAGCACAAGTCAATAGTGCAACTTCACCTTTTTTCATTGTAGCCACCCCGATATCCCAAGCTTTGATGACATTTCCTTTTTTTAGCTCAAATTTAAATGGACTATTACGGACTTTGCTTGAATCAAACATTGTTCCATCCAACAAAGTACCGGTGTAATGTACTTTTACATTGCTTCTAGGTGGTGGAGTTTCATCTCCAATACCTTCCTTAATAATTTCCTTCAATACACCTCCATCCTTCTTGGGAGATATGTCCACTGCTGCCATTCTGATATTGTTGCTCCAAACTAAGCATGAACATGATTATTGAACAACTTCATTCTTTGCATTAATCATTTACAACATTTACATTAATTTTATTTCATTAACTCATGTATGAAAAATTCCTGGGTTAGTTGGTTGTCGCTTTTATGGTCTTGTATAATAATTTAGTTTTTTCGTAGTATTTTACTCTACCGCAAATAACGAATATGGCAATAAAAACAATTGAAAAATAAATATAAAATAGATAACGATTTATTATTCAAAATACAGAGAAGAAGAAACACGATACAGTAATTTCTATCATTCGCAATTTTCAATGAGAATAATTTTAATACGGTTAATAAACGTAATAATATAGAAAGCTAGAATATTAATACAAATATATTTCTTATTTCGTAATACAATTAAAAAATACGTACATCTTTTATGTTCGTGTGTAATATTTCAGTAATAAAATAACGTTTTATGTGTACACTGTAATCGTCCGTTTAAATTCACATAGATGATTCCAGAAATTCGCTCGCAGCTCACAGTCTGCCTGCTTCTATCTCTATAGGTTGCAAATCATTGCAAATGCTAAGACATCGTTTCTATATCGATTATCGGCTTTTAACTAGTACATCTCGACTTTAATATCGATATGTTTTATTCTAATTAATTGATACCACATTTTTGAGCTTCGATTGGCTAATTGAAAATATCATTTTAAACTTCAGCCCTACGATCCACAACTTAATTCTGTTTTCACTACCAAAGTAAATGTTTTAACCTCTTTAATATAGCCCTATAACCATACGTAATATACGTAGTAAAAAATTAATAATTATGTGACTTGACAAATTTGAACGAGTAATTACAATTAAATCTTAATTTGAAAATGTAAAAAAAAAGCCAAATTAATATGTAATTTTCTTTTCTCGTGAAAATATTTCGATGCGTTAGAGGAGTGTGTATTTACTGAGAATAAATTTTATGACAAAGAAATTAATGCGTATTTTCACAATTGTCATAGAATTATGTTACAATTAAGCAAACATAACAATCGTTATGACTGGAAGATTACAGGAAATGTTACCGCACAAATGTAGTTTTCTGATTTAAGATAAAAATTATAATAGCACCGTAACGAGTATAAATAAAGGTGCATTCGAAATACAACAGTTTTTTTAAAACACAACTCTCATAAGATGAAGTTGTTTAACATTCAAATCTTTTTGCTCCTAGTATTTTGTTTTGCGGTATGATTTTAATAACAAGTTTACGATTACGTATAATTGTTTGTTAATGCTATTTGCATTGTCAATTATTATTACTTTTGTTTCATTTCTTAATTAACATTGATGTAGAATACGTAGAATAACTTTTTAACGAAGCCTCGATCAACAAATTGATATTCTTGATTTTCGTCTTATTTTGGCCCCTAGAATCTCCCATTAAAATTTTTCATCACGTTATAATATTAATAACCTTCTATTCTATATTCATTAAACTTTTAAATGCTTTATATTAATTAATAGACATCTGTGATGTCCATAAACTTTGAACCTACCGGACTGCGTCATAATGCAGAAGCAGGAATAGCATGTCGAGGTGGTCGAAGAAGACGACCAAACGATGATGGTAACAATGGTGGAAATAATGGAGGTAGTGGATCAAACAATACTGAATCAGGTGGGTTGAAAGTTTTTACATCAGAATTTAATAGTAAATTAATTACAGTTATTTTTAAAAATGAATTTCATCCAAAGTATTTCTATGTTTCAAATTGATTTATTATAAAATCATTGTATTTGAACATTGAGAATATTCACACTATTGTATCTCTCGACGTACTCGACGTTATTAACGTTTTGGACACGTCATTATACGACAAGAAATTAATATTTTCTTTTTTATGTAATATTAGTTTTTTAAATGTAAATATATGTATAAATGTTTTGTTTGTCTAAATAAATGCAGGGACTGGAGGAACTGGACAAAGATAATCAGGTGTTGGGACAAAGATGATTAAGAAAAAATATATTTAACATAATGAAATAAAATAATTAAGAAATTACAAAGAATACTTTGTGTAATTATATCTTTATGCAATAACAAAGCTGTTTTATTTTTCCATATTTTATTTCTGTGAATGTCAGTAATCCTTTTAATAATTAATATATAATTGTCTCATCAGTTACACAGTATAACGAATTCGCACAATATCTATATTTCCATACATTACACACCTACAATTGTTCTAATATTTCATAAGTATTTCTTGCATAACAAATTAGAAACGTATTAAAACTAACGAAGAATAACGAATAAAAACAAAAATATATGTACAAATTTGAAACACAAAATGAAATGGAAACATTTAAAAATTTGTATAATTTGATTTTACATTATAATAAACGAAATTTTTTTAAACGAACTAAACATAATAGTACACTCAATTTAAACTATTCTGTCGATACTACACAAATGCACGGAAAATGCTACACAGATTTCGTCGTTCGATTCCATTAAACGGAAGTTAGAACGTATTTATCGCCTTCCGTATAATTGATTAGTATGGGCAGATTATCGTTTAAGGGGAGTATATGTCAATTAGATAAATTTGTATATCTATGACTAACGATACAACGTTATTAAATGATATATAAATATATACATCGAGATTCCAGTTTATATGAAATATTTCAATAACAATAATTTTTATAATTTAAATGAAGATTCGTAACTACACATACATATATTTTAGTTATTTTGAACAACATTGATAGTAGTATTCCTGCTTATTAATCTTGTTTTCTATACATATTTTGCCTATACGAAATTATAACTTATATTATACTAATTAGATATAAAACAGTATCAAACACTTAAATGGAACTTTTTTCAGTAATAATGCATATATGCATTTATAAATGATACAATTTATCTTATTATGTTTATATTTATTATTATTGCCACCTTACAATTATCTATTGTAACTTAATACATAGAATGAGTAATTACAAGGTTTGATTTCAAAATAATGTATCTTGGGTGTTGTGAAAAAAGGCCAATGGTAAATAACCTTATGTAACAAAAATATTGGTTCTATTTAAAAAAAATTCAAGTGATCCTAAAGTTTTGAAAATTATGTTTGAAGAAGAAATGATCTTACATTATGTGACTCTTTAAATAAAATATTTCTTTTTCCTTTGACTCTTTTCATATTACCATAAACACTGGAAATATTTTAGAGTTTCATTACAGCCCTGTATATTAATGGAAACAATAAAAAGTATGTCTGTATAAATAACAGTTGTACATTGTATAAATATTTGTACATTTTTTATTATAATCAATTATCATAAGAGAAAGATATGTATAGGTCAAAGAAGTAATATTTTTATATTCAATTCTATTAGTTTAAATGAAAATAAACATACTTTATTTCTAAAGTGTTCTTTACTAACACAATTTTCTGGATGGTACATTACTATACATATTTTTATACTGTAATATTTATGGGTAACATAAAATGCATGATAATATTACTGGAACAATTATTACATTTAAAGCAATTAATTGAAATCCAAAGAACATTGTTGTTATAAATTTTTCTAGTTATTAAATATTCTAGGCATTAATTCTAATGAAAATCAGTTTGTATATTACAAACCTTTTTTAAATTTAACAGTATCTTTCTTAATTATTCGTATTTCTCCATAACTTTGATAAATTTCAATAACAATATTATGCTTTTTAAAATATCATTACAACATTTTTCGTCATTTTAGGTCCAATTAGAAAAAAGTATAAAAAGAAGAGTATATATAAAAATTAGTTTATTTTAATAGAAGAATAGTTCATCAAAAATTTTTGATTTAATAATTGTTTTTTTAGGAAAAATTGAAGGTAATTTGATTGTTTAAAAAGGAGATATTAAATTTAATTTTAGATTTAAACATATTATACCATGCATTTTAAGTATAAGTACAAATAACTAAATTTATCAATAATGGTATTGTAATTTTTTGTAACTTACAGTGTTTGTAAATTATATATTACAGAGTGTTTGTAAAGTAAATGTCCAGTATAAATGATAGATGTAACATTCTTTAGATTCAACCGAATACAGCAATATAAAATTTTCATTTTATTACCCATATGTTTATAATTTTAAAATGTAGAAACTTGACCTAATAAGCATTTCTTTTACCATACAAATTGTACATATTACTTACTTCTTCAGTAAATGAGTAAGATCTTTATTCTGCTTCTGAAGCATTACATCTGTCTTTTCTGCTTTATCTGTTATGTTATCGATTAAATCATTTTGTAAATCTATTTCTTCCGATAATCCTATTGCTAAGCCCTTTAATCTAGCTAATGAACCACTCATTTCATCTAAATTTTGTTCAAAAATTTTACTCGTGTTATTACGCACAGGAACATTACTCTCTGCTTCATCATCTAGATCTAGGCCACGTAACTTTAGTGCTGGACTAGTATTAGCTATATTAGTCTGTACTTGTTCTAAGGAGTTAGATAATGCTGGAGATGTCATGGATTCAGAACTAGATGACTCTGATAATTTGGTAGATGGTATGGGTGCATCTAATGATTTACCACTTAGATAATTTTTAAGACTCCCAAATACACTTTTTATTCCCTGAATATGTTTTTGACTAAATCTTAGAGTACTATTAATATCATCTAATCTTTTTTCCGTTCTTTCTAATTGTTCTCTTTGTCTGATGAGTTCCTGAAATAAAATAAAATTATGAAAGTGTAATAATTAATAAAGATACTACAAATACAAATAGTTATTTATGATCAGAATCATAAGAACAATGTATATACATATACATTAATTAGATAATAAACTAATCATAGATATTTAATTTGATCTTAATGTAGTTGCTGACTACAGTAAGACTCTCAATGAGAAATAGTAATATTTTCTACAAAATGTAATAAACTGATATTTATTAACTAGAGGCGGTAACGCGGCAAATAATAGAGAATTACCGAATTTATCAGCTGTCATCGGAATTGAATGATCATTTCTAAGAATTACCTCGGCAGTGGCGGCTCCAATCTGTTCAGAATCTCTTAACAATGAGATAGATCTTTCCGACGAGTGTAACGTACGTTCTTCAATATCTCTTCTCCGTTGCAATAATTGTTGATGCTTTTGTTCGATCTCATTGTCAAAATTGGAATAGTGATTATAAGTCATACGACCAGAAGACCTCGGTGGTGCACTGTTTAGAAAGGTTTCGTCGTCGATGTCGTCTTCCAGAGAGAAAAACGGATTCTTTGGGTTATTTAAATAATTTTGACTCGCCATTTTTTGTAGCATACACCGTGAACTTAAGGTTTTTTGTGTAAAAATTGTTTAAAAGTCTGATTAAAATCACGCGACACTTAAACACTAGTAAAAATCAAGTCAACATGCAAGTACTTTGCAACTGACAGACACCAACTGACACTAGATACACTACAAGAGATACCGTCAGTGACTCTCAAATCATTTATTAAAGAACAACGAAGAGTAGACGCCACAAGATTGTTTCAATAACTTCGACTTCAACTATCTTAAGCGGTGACTATTATTCTTTTACGAAATGTGAAAATTAATGATAAGAAATCATGATCGACATTAATTTTAACTCTCGTAGAAATTAAAACGATTTAAAATGATGTATATTGTTCAAACATCAAAGCTGTGTATTGTTTGAGTTCCATTGTTCGGTCACAGATGAGATATAAGATAGTTGCAACATCTTATTAAGGTTCTATGAGAAAAACTGATGTACCAACTTTGTGAAAATGCAACGGCACAGACGAGGTATAGCAGCCGCTGCATGTAAATATCCCTTTATGTATGTCAAGAACGTACCGCATTAGTTGACGATTGTGCACAGTTTTCTTGTCGCTAACAAAAGTGGCTAACAAAATTTTTAGAAGTTCTAACAATGGAATTTATCACTCTGAATTGTAAACGACTTATATATATATGTATAATATCTCATAAGTTTAGTAATCTAGATTATAAAAATGTGAAAGAGAGATCGATGAATTTTCGTAGATGGCGGTCAACTGTGTGGCGATCAAGCTGTACTGTACCATGAGTGTCTTATAACATGAGATATACTCTTCCAAAGTGGAACAAAATGTTAAAAAGATCATTCAAAGGTCAATGACTAGCTTATGGTCACTGCTGGTCGACAGTGAGGTTGACATCAAGGTCAGCGGTTCAGTGAAGATCCAGAAATGGTCAAAAGGCGAGACCAATCGAAATAGTTTCTTTCTAGACAAGACAGTCTTATCGGTTAACTTTAACGTTGGCTCTGACTGGTCTCCCCTCCCTTTCATTACCTTAGAGCGATAAGCAGGGTCACCGCGAGGATTCTTCAGTCTCGTCGCGAATTCGGGAGTGTGCAAACGTCCAGAAGAGAACCGGGGACCGCTGCTGACCACTACTGGCCAGCGATGACCATGGCTGACCGGTGCTGACCAATACTGACCACTACTGACCAGTTCTGACCAGTGCTCCTACCACTACTGACCACTACTGACCAGTGCCGGACGGTGATGACCAACGGTAAGAACTGTTTAAAAATTCTCTCCCCTCTTCTATTCTATCGTTTGATGTCAATTTCGCTTCAATAAACTGATTTTCCGTTGCTTGTCTAACCGATGTTGCTATAATATGAATATTTTCTTACGTTACAGCTTGCCCAGTGGTACCTAACCTATGTACTGACAACAAGTAGTAAGTCCACTCCACTTATTTATATTTTATTATTTTTATTTGTTTGTTTGATGTGAATTCAACTTTGTTTATCCATCTGACTGCTTTGATACGTATAATATTGTAGGTTATAAAAATGTAATATTATATTCTTGCTCGAATTCTCGTAATATTCTACGGAGGTACTTTGTTCGATCCTTCCATTTCGTTTGATCGTTTGGTGTTGATTCAACTTGGTGTCTCGATCCAAGTTTCTTTCATTACAATTACGAATGTTCGTTTTGATATATATAGCATGCTGTCGATGCATATACCATATTTGTTTCGATGATACCGATGAATATAAGATTTTTATTTTTACGTTTCAGCTTAAATTCTTGTAACATTTATGATGTCTCAGAAGCGTGATAAGTCTACCAGGCCAAACATGAACGAAGCATCCCAGAAACGTGATAAGTCTGCCGGGCCAAACCTTGGTGACGCTTTTGGCACGCACAGTTGGAAATTAAATCGTAAGGCAAGGAGGTAAAACGACTGGTTGTATACGTGCTCTCTTTGGCAAGTGTAGTTAGTACCTTTTACTTAAAATTATAATCTTCTTGCACACCGCGATTTTTAAGATGACAAATGTCATAGTAGATTCATTTTTAATTTGACACTCGTTTTAAAATGAATATATAATGAGTACATACGTATACTACGCGTACATCACTTTCTCTCGTCCGCTTGTTCTCTGGTTCTCGCTTTCCGAGATTATGTCTCGACCGAAAGGACCGGAGAGTTTTTTGCTCGTTCACCTCTGTTTGATAGAATGAAACATGTGACACCTGTGTATTAGGTGTGATAGCTCTTACCGCTTCAACCCCGGTGCAGCTTGGTTCAGCTTAAGTGGGGCCTCGCCGAGCGCATATATTCTCCTCTTTATACGGAAAAGAGAATGACCTCCGGTGAGAGTTCTTGACCCATATCCGTTCTCGAGTACTAAGCGGGTCCTGTTGTGACCGTGTGTCCTCCAGGGCCCGGCGGTTGTACGTAGAGAGGTCCGATAGACGTGGGTCAGGGGCGCGACTTGCTTTTCTGATAATCAAGGCCGGGGGGGATCAATCTGATACCCACACTCAATGCACGCTATGAGCACGCGTCGCGTCGCGTTTTATTTAAGCGTGCGATGGTTTTACACGCCGCAATTTTTAATATGACAAATATCGTAATATCAATCGAAAGTTGAGTCACGATTTTAATATCTTTTATAATACTTATAATTATATTAATTTTAGAATGAGTGTCAAATTAGTAGCTTCCGATTGTTCTTTACATTCTTCGATAATTAAATTCACTTTCATAATTCAGTCGACGACTTTGGGTATCTTCGATATCGAGGATACCCAAAGTCTCTCTATACTTATTAAAATATATCATTAGATTGACGTGCAAGAAGATATTTCGCGACGAATACATTTTAGAGTCAAAGTAACCTCGTATATTATGATGTACTATTTTTACTTTCTCACTGCACTTGCCTGTAGTTGTAGTATTTGTAGTTTTACAGGTTCAGTGTTGTTCTCTTACTAATCTATCGAAGAAGTTTCTGTTTCAGAGCATATTCCTACGGAAGTTTTAGGTTTATACAGGTAACAATTAAGAATTGTTACAATTTTGTTTGATATTGCTTGGTTTGTGTTTCAGGAAATCATCGTGGGATAAATAGAAGATAGAAGAAAGAAGAAAGAAGAATGTATTTCATGTATTTTGTTTCAAATTGCTTAGTTTATGTTTTAATAATTTAGATTTATAGTTAGGTAAAATGTAACAGTATGTTTCAGGAAATCTTCGTCGAAGGATCAACAAGGAAGAATATATTTTCTATGTATTTTGTTAGATGATTAGATAGGTAGGATGTAAATAAATTTAGATTTATAGTTAGGTAGGAGTTTGCTTCTCTATATTAATGATTACATCAGGCAGGCAATATTTTGGTCTATTTCTCTGTTTTATTAATGAAAATTTAGAGGCAAATTCTTTTTTAAAAAACTCTTTCGTTGGTTGTTTCCTTCGTTGGTTGCACTTTCGTTTATTGCTTTTCGATCGCTGGTCACAAAAATTCTTTATTAATGGAGGGTGGTTGGGAATCGGTTAGGGCGGGTCTCCATTCGCAGCAACCTCCTCGTGGTGAGACCTGGGTAATATTATTTAGGGTTTAATTAATAATCGTATCACTCTTAGCTTGTAATGCAATTATTAATTAAAAACTAAATAGTATTAGCAAATTGGCTGCGATCCGCCTTGCATAGGTCATCATAGATATAGATCTTCTTCACTAGGTTAGTTTTGATTCTCATTGATTCATCAAAGATTCTAGAGTATTGTCAGAGAAGACGAGGTATACTAGTAGATCTTTCTCCCAACGTATTTTTTCGTCTTATTCTTATGAGGTCTCGAAACCCCATTACCATTATCGTGTCATTCGCAACGTTACCAACAGATTCATTTCCATAGTCGGTATTTTAATTCGTGTGATACAAACTCCCATAAGATGCATAGTTTATTTTATATTTCATCTAAGGTGTCATTAATACATTGAATTATTTGTAAACAAAAAAATGGCAAATTGTTAGATGAATTTTAAAGCTGAAAGTTTTTACCATTTATCGGTAAGTCTATGGCGTTAGTTGCGTTTTCTATGGCGAGGGTTGCGCTCTGCGTTACCGACTGAAAGTTCGAAGTTAGGGTTTGTTATGTTATAAAAGTTAATGTTAATGTTTTTGTTTTATTGCTAGGAGACTGATACGACAAAGTTGTTTAACAGATAATAAGAATGATTCCAGAGTTCTCCCTAACTTCTATAGAACTGTATTTATTAGTGTTCGACGACGACAAGTCCTCGTATTTTTCTGATGTCTCTTTGCGTAACTTTGGATATTTCTTGTGAAAGCTTCCTGATCATTTTTCTACACGAAATTTTTAAATTCAACGTTTTATAAATATTGAAATATTAGCTCCAATTTAATAACCATTAGAAAAATTAACGTAAGGAACAAAAGAACGATCGAATGCACTATTGATGATTCGTTTAAGATCCGTCCGCCATCTTTGAATCCGTCTCGTTTGATCCTCCAGCTCCGTGGCGATTGCGAGGTTGGGGTTTCGTGGACGAGTCTCGGTTTCGTTTTAGAGTGGTCGAACTGGTTGTTCCGGGGTTGCCTTTAGCTTAGGACTGCCCATCACGGAAATTCCCGTGGCGTTGCACTGGACGCGGACAAAAAGGATCAAAAGATCTTGTAACGTCTGTGTCCTCATAGGCGGAGCGAAATGGTAGAGCCTCCAATAACAGTCCCTCGCGTCTTAAAAACGACCCGCCGATATTGTGGCTCGTCTCGTGTACGCATTTAGATTCAAAACATAAAACGTCGATATAAATCAAAAGGGGATAGTCTTATTACGAGCTTCGGATCAAATACCAAGGGTATTAACCCTTTTGCATCATGGATTTTCTTTTAAGAGTGAGGGATATTTATTGGGCAGGACACGACACCGAGAACAATTTTAGAAAAGATGTTCCTTTCTTTCGTTCGTATACAGTTTTAACAACTACGATTTGTAACCATGCAAAGCTTGAATAAATATAATCGCGGCTTAGATAACAATTATGTTATGTTTTCGTTCGTTACCGTGCATGGACGTTCCTTTGTTTTTGTTACGATTAAAATTGAGGGGTATTTTTTCGTAGTTAATTGCGTGGGAAAACATGTTGGCGAAAGAATTGGTTACTCGGAATTCCTGGCAGAACATT